AGAACAGACAGTGCTCACGCACATTACAGCAATAAACAATCATGTTAACATAAAAGTATCTACCTAGGTAGCTACCCTGTCACATGGTCAGTAAGTCATGCAGTTTACTGGCACTGTTGGCTCTAAGTTGAGTGATGTATAATCAAGTTTGTAATCAATCAACCGACAAAGAACCTAATTAGAATTTTAGAAGCAGTACATCCAGACAGAAAGGAAGTGGGGTCACTGATGCCGTTAAACACATAGCGAGTTTGAAGTGGCAGTAGGCGGGACATATAGCCCGAAAGCATGGCTCGTGGGGTAAGACGGTCTTGGAATGGAGACCTTGGGGCGAGAAACGACCTAGAGGACGACCACAGATGCGTCGGAAGGATGACGTCAGGAAAACTGCAGGGACGAATTAGATGGAAGTAGCGCAAGATCGAAATAGATGGCGTAATTTGAAGGAGGCCTACACCAGACTGGTTGAGAACGGCTGAAGAGAGAGAAAGAGACATCCAGACAAAAGTCGAAGTGTTTTAAAAGCTTAAAAGAATTAAATATTACATAACTTATATATCCCCTCCGCCGTATGTTAAGTGTATAGTGGAGTTATAGTGGACTACAAAAATCCTGACCATGCTGGCCTGCAAAAACCTGAAGATCCTTCAATAATTACTCACCAACAGAAACACAAAACCACCAAAAGGCAATCCAAATGTTTCTGTGGTCTTTCGTAAGGTGGGGTTTACTTCTTTAGTTTATGATTCGAGCGCCACTACCAGCCTTTATTCATCTTTGTAACAAACAGCATAATCTAGATTTGTTTAAGACTCAATTCAATTATTTCAGATCAAGCACTTACTACGAGCATTTTAATTAGAGCAAAATTATTATATATACTTAGTTGATTTTGATGAATTTGCGAAAGAATTTGTACCTATGTTGGTGCAATTAAATTAGTGTGCACAAACCAGTGCATGTCTGACTTATGTCTATCTGACCATAATCGCCGTATGTCAGACTCGGCCTGTTTCTCGCCATTTTCATGAGAAATAGCAGTTGGTCAATCTGCATTGTTCTAAACTAACTGTACCCGTAGATCGAACCAATATAATTCGAATAGTTTGCGAGTCCGAAATGTTTGTCATTGTCTAGGGGCACTGATTTCAGTTGATCAGTCAGTTTATTTTTTAAAGTTTATTTTATCAAGAAGATGGTCGTTTTGTAGGATTTATTTTTTCCTAGTAAAAACTAAAATGCATTGTTTTTTTACGTGTACAAAAAAGTTTCATGTGATTAGTTTTCTACTTTCAATCCAACAAGCAGATGCGCTGTTGACTTAATATAGTCATCTTTTTATTGTGCCAGATTTTATAGATATACTGATAATGTGATATAAAATTACTCAATCATCTATTAGAGATGGCAAAACCAACTTCCATGTGCCTTATAATGTCATCTTTATCTGCTATACCTACACTTAACATTCACAATGTTTCACACTACAAGTTGTTATTATAAGTTACTCAATTATATGTGATATTTGGAGCGAATAGGATGAAGCAACGCCAACGCTGAAATAAATTTATTCCGCGCTCTTTGAAATAATAGTTAAATTATTATTGTCTACTAGCAATGGTAAATTGGTGATCCATCAACATTTCTGAATGCCCTGGCGAATTTTCAGAAGTTTCCTTTCATTCAAATCTTGTCCCGATATGATTACTACAAAGTAACAATATAATAAAATTACTAAATCGGTTAGCTAGTACCGTTTTCAAGCCGCTTTATTAAAAACTCGCTAGAAAGGAAGAAAGAAAGATAATACATTTATTCTAATACAGAAGATTACTTATTATCTACATAAATATGACATTTCTATCTGTAAGTATGCGTTATGTTCCCATACTTCAAGTGCAATAAGCTTAGGTAACGGAAAGAATACATAATACTGATACATATACAAGTATATTTATATAGAAATACATATTATACATCCATGACTGGAGTAAAATTGCTCGTAACATCACACAAACATCTGCCTCCACCGATACTAGAACCCGGGACCTCTCGAGCAGACGTGGACGACTTTTTGAAACCCGGCGTACAAACCATTCGACTACGGAGGTCGTAAAATTCAAATTAGTCGTCGAAGTCAAATTATAATGCACATAAAAATATTTTATTAGAATTGACATTTGATTTTAGTGTTCTATGTATGACTATTTCTATAAAGAGCCAGAGCAGTGGCAGAACAAATAAAATTATAACGAAGTGCCCCATTAACGATAACATTTGGAGATTATGCTGTTTAGAATGTGTTTAATATTGGATGAGCTGCCATGTATGGGGGACGGCCTACATGATTCGCCGTAGATCAAGTTCCACACCGTACTGTGTAGGCGCGCGAGCGGGTAAACACTTACCCACACGCCTATAGGGTTGCTCAATTTTTTTATGAACAGCAATTAACAAATGTCGTACCGGAACGAAATAATCCGCCAGAGAACTAAAGTTACTGAATATCTTAACGAGAAAATAAGCTGCAGCGATAGTGGGCAGACCCGTCTTTCCTAGTGGGCACTTTGGGCAAGTGCCCATGGCCCCGCGATCGCCCCCTCAGATCAAATATAAAGTCCCTAGTCCTGTTAAATCACTAAACGCAAGTCATAGGGGCCCCATTATCCTAATATGCCCAGGGCCTCCAATAGGTCAAAGACGGCACTGAGTAGAACTGATGGCCGCTGAGGCAGACTAGTCCTGGTGTTGAGACCGCGAATCGGGAAACAGTCTGAAAACACAGTGGATGAGGAGATCTGAAGACCGAGGTGGCAGAGACCTATGTTAAGCATTGGACTGATGCGGGCTGATGGTGAATTAAGAAATAGGTATCTATTTGGTTTGATTGGCAGTGAAAAAATTGTAACACTGCAAATAATTTGAAACACTGGATAACAGACAAATTGTGTGAAAAGCTTAGGCAAACGCATAATACAATGGAACCCGACAACAAAAACAATAGTCTACAGGTTAGATTAAAACAAAAAGTGTAGATACGGTACGCTCATACTAGCATCAAATAAAATATGATCCGACTCAACTACACAAGCAACTCTCGCCACGCACACGTCTGTATATAAACATCAATCGAGCGAGCGAGACAGAACTATACGCTTCAACGCAGCGTATTGATGTTCTTTTCTTGCTTATAAAATGGCGATTACGTAAATAATACTCGCGACAAACCGTGATTTTTGAGAAAAAAATGTTTTCTCAGTTTTACGAATGAAAAGTGTTGCCGGGGCATTTGATTTTGAACTATTTGTGTTCTTTATAAAAGCATCGAAGGCATTGTTATATCTTCATACCACAGAATATACGCAATATTGTTATATTGAGTTTACATGCAGCGTGTTTGAATGTCAAATTGTGACTAAAGCGAATTATGGTCGTGGACCACAATTTAAGCGGATCACTTTTGAGCCGCGAATGCCGTATCTTCCCTTTTTGTTTTAATCTAAAGTCTACAGTGAAAGAGGAGACGCCGAAATAAAATCAAATAACGTGTTTCTATAGAGACAACCATGTGCGTTATCCGGCCAACAACGTTGATTGCTGAATAAAATACTTGAATGTCCAGCTTTTGATATTCCGCGTCTGTTTGATTAAAAATCGCTTTTAAGGCACCTAAATGTTGACTGACCTGTGTCGTAATGTGCAGTTTCTTTATAATTAAAGATATTTATTATGAGTACCTATGGGTAAGTTAGATGCAATTACCTATTTAGCTCAGAAGTTATATTAGATTGGATTGTCAGGGTCAGCAACGCGCATGAGATTCCTATCGCATTGCGTAGCCATAGCCGTAGCTAAGGATGGACATCTAAGGATGAATAGTCAAAACTGTGTAAATAAGTAATGATGTTTCATCTGTCAAAGGTCATAATCATATACTTTCCTTATCAATCCGACACTTTTATGTTTAACTTTAGATTTTTTAACAATATGAAATTAAGATATTTTTTAATTCAATTCTATTGGTACTGCCTTAGATTAAACCAAAAATGGATTACTGCCGAATATTGTTTTTACAGTTGAACGTATACATACTTAATAGATCTTACCCTCTGTCCATGTTTGCTGTAGTTGGGTATTTGAGAAAAACAAAGTTACTCATAGAATATTGTTACACTGATTGAGATTTTATTACTTTAAAGTCAATAAGTTGCTCGTGTTTAATAAATTAATTGAATTTCCACAGACTAGAGACTAATACAGTTTTTTTATGTTATTATAATTTTTATTATTGTTTATGCTAAGGCAAAGGAAAAAAATAACAGCCTTTTCATATATTTTTTTTAATTCTTTGTTTGTGGTACTTTTTATTGATTCTATTGTGGATTGTGTGTTTTGTTTTTATGACTACTTTTATTCACGTCAACCTTAGCCAGAATATCAGCGCCGCAACGGTCTTAGTGTCGTTGTGGCATTGTGCTGAGACAGGGACCTGGTTTACCTTATTCTGTTTTTTGTTGTTGTTTTATTTAAGCTTTGTTTGTTGGTCAATGAATTATTTCTTTCTTTCTTTCTAATATTCCGATTATAATAAGCGGATTATGTTATTATAGGAATTAATGACGGTAGAAGATCACTGTTATATGAATGTGATTTTCACTAGTAGTCGACAGCCCTAACTAGCTACCTATGGTGCGAATCACTCGGTCAACATTCCTTGTTCATGTCCGTTACGAGACGAATGTGAATGTCATAGGAAAATTAAATTCAAATTAGTAATCACAGACAACTTAAATCGAGGCAGATTGTTGTCTAATTGTTCAAAATTAAAAATCATTTAGTTATTTCCTTTTTTTGACATCGATGTAAAATTCGAATGCCATAAATATTTTGGTAAAACTTTGAACTCCTGTACTTAAATTTTAATTATAGTATTAAAGTCTGAAAAGGTTCATGGGTTGTTCAATATCCAATATCTAAACGATATTTTTTTTTCTTTACAGGGTGCCCGGGACAACCTAACGGATTCTGATTCCGGTTGCGTTTCCCCCGGGTCTCGTATCAAGGACTCCGCGTCCCCAGAGCTCAAACGAATGGACTCCGGCTACAAATCCCCGCACGCCCCGAGCAGTCCCTGCAACCCTCGGCGGCAACTGGGAACGCCTCATGATGACTTCAAGGATGACTTCGCTAAGGCACAAGTCCTGGCCGATATACTGGACAGGAATTCAGAAACCAGCGACTCTTTGAAGAGCAACCCAGTGAAGGATCACCTGGAACAGATGATCTTGAACGCGGCTTCCACCGAAGACAGAACTTGCCTTGAACAGGTTCTGATGTTGCTGTACAACCTTCAAACATTGAGCAGCTCCGTCAGTGAAGATGATTGCTATCAGGTATGTAAAGTAGTCTTTGTTATAGACATTATTTTTTTTCCATTAAACCTTTATGTTATAAATCTGTTTTGTTAAAACAATTTACATTGATTAATTTTGACACATACAGTCACCTTCAGTCTCACTCAAACTGTCAGTTTTCTCAATAGTCATGGCTAAATTTTAAGTTAAAATTTTAACAAAAAAGTAACAATATGTACCGTGGTTTAAGGTTAAACCAAGAAGAATATGTGATCTGAAACAGAAATCCGAAATCGACATTCCATCGCACAAAACCCAAAAGGCAATCGCAACAGTCACACCGTATCAACAAAAGGGATACAAATGCGAGTCCTTAGAAAGTCTTTGTAGCGACGAGAGGAAACCAAGCAACATATTACAAGAGAGCGGAATCTTCGAAGGTGTTGAAACTGAGACCAAATGCACTCAGACAGACGTCAACGATAGTTTTGAATGTTCAGGTGAACTGAACACCGAAATACAACGACTGAATAGTATAAGAGAGAAACTTGAAAGGCAGGGAGTTAGAAATAGGACATTAAATACTAAGGACGATGGCGACGGCCTGGAGTGTAGGTGCGTGAAGTTGGGAAAGAAACACAAGCAGTATTACGAGAGGAGGCTTAAGTTTTTGGAGGGAAAGATCTCGATATATGAGGCTGCGGAAGACGTAAAACAGGCTAAATTGGCAGAACGATTGCAGAAAGAATTTCAGCTTGAAAATCGATTACAGGTAATTTAAATGCTACAAAAATCTGAAAAAATTACAAAATTTTAGTTTGTTACTAAAGGATGCTGAAATATTTTTTTTTCCAGGATTTAGAATCGCAGCTGTTAGAACTCCAAGAGAAATATGAGAGGCTAGAAGAGGATTGTTGTGAGTTAGAAGAAATCGAGAACGACACTCGACTACATTGGCAGCAGTTAGTAGGACAAATTAATTCCAGTATAATCTTGATTTACTTATCATTTTAAAAAGTAATACTCAAATTATTATTCTAGGCTTGAAATGGACTATGAGCTCTGTTCAGCACAATTAAGAGATATGACGGAGCAAAGGGAATGTTCGCGGGCGCAAGCCGAAAGGCTTATGGCTGAACTTAGTAAAAGGGAATGTTCATTAAAAGCTAGAGAAGTAAGTGAATAAATATACATAATGCAATCTTATTAAGACAATATTATATGATGTGCTGAAATCTATAATCTTTCTATTTGCAGAATGAACTCCTAACGAGGTTAGATAAATTAGAGAAGGCAGTACCAGCATTGATAGCGTGGAACGTGATTCGAGCTATTGGAGCAAATGTGGGCCCAGCAGAACAGGTAAACTTTTATAACAAATATTTTTGTTACCATATCTGTATTTTGTTTAGAAGAGAATGAAGCCATTACCATTATCTTCTTCAAAGCTCTCCTAAACGTTTCAAAGTTGCTAAAGTTATTTATAGTAACATTGAGGTGTTTTTCAGTAAACTTCGGTAATTTTACGATTGTAGATTACAAATTTGGTAATTGTAGCAATATAACGACATTTACATTTGTCGTTTTAATGTGTTTGTTTTGCATTTTCAGCGAACATTAAAGTGTCGGATGATACCATACAGTGATAATACGAAGACTTTCATCCAACAAGTGCGGCAAGAAGCTAGTAAGCCATGCGGATGTGGCACTCTAGTAGCATACAACAACATCAATACAGAAGAAACACCTTCCGTGAAGCTACTGGAACAGAAAATTACCAAGTAAGCATTAGTTCAGACGATTAATAATATAGATATATCCTATTTATGGGAATTGCTTATTATAGATTTTCATCGTAAATATTTAACATACAATAATTACTGTAGTCAAAAAACCAACCTTAAAACAAGAAGTTTAAGAAATATCTATCATGAATGTAGAATATTTCTTAGTTTGATTACTAAATGGTCTTCTAGTATTATTAGGTACACTAAAATAAGGTTAATAAATAATTTCACAAGCTTTGTTTCCAGATTGATGGCCGAGAAGAAAGAAATAGAATCAAGTTCAGAGAAAATGAAACAGCGGCTGGAGCAGAAAGTTAAGGTTTTAGAAGAAGAGCTGGAAACAATTAGGCGGCAGATGAAGGCTACAGAATGCGGTGCCGCGGTAAAGAAGCACATGCTTGAAGATCAGATCGTTAAAATTGAGCATGAAATCGATAAGGAGAAGGAAAATGAAACGGTACGTTATATACACATTGATAGAAATCAAATAATTTGAGTTTATTTATATGGCATCCCATTGAAAATAATTACATTTGACAATAGACAAGAGATTAACTCAGAATTAATGAAACACACAATAATAGGTCAATTGCCAATTTTACGAAAATGAACTTGTATATTCAGTTAGTTGTGATTTTTTTTAATGAGAGCGCATCATACGTGTACATACATACGAGTTTACAAAGTGTACAAGTTAAACGAGAACTATTTTAGAAATTTCGAGATGTAATTGCTCTATTTAAAATCACAAAACACTAACAATGTGCGAAAATTTTCTCTGTAACACATCATTATCAGACCGTAATAAGCCGGCGAACGTAAGTTTGAAGCCATTAAATTCCTTGACCATGACGATTCCTCTGATGAAATGACGAGTACTTTACGACTGAATATTGTGAGAGCATAGTTTACTAGATAATTTTAACATTTATCGGTTTGACTGTGAATTCCAGTAGACATTAATACTAGAAGATTTTTCTAATGCTGCAACTAAATTCTTTTAATATCTTTTGTCTATTATTTTTAAATTTTCCAAAAAATAATATTTTCGCCTATTAATGCCCCCATCCCCACGGTGGGGGTAAAGGCCTTCCTAATTGATGGTATGGGGAGAATGGAGACATGATTCACCACGTGGGCCCAGTTAAATTGTTATATATTGTGGGTGCTAACGACTGCAGATGCAGCCGGGACCAACAGTTTGACGAAACATTAGAGAACCTCGAGATAATAATAATGAAGAATAATGAATACTTGATCCACTATAAATAAGCTCTTTTTTTAACGTTATAGCAACCAGTGGACCCAATAATGGGTAGTAAGCTTAAAGCTCTTCTGATAAGTGAACAAGAATTGAAGACTAGGATCGGAGAACTGGAGAGAAGAGAAACTGCGTACTTAGAGATGCTGACGCAAGCCGATGATATGTGGGCCGAGATGGAAGGCGGATATAAGAAGAAGATTGAGGAATCGCAGGTCGCAAAGACGCAGCTTAAGACAAAGGTGATGGAAATACTTTATTTTTGAATTTACTCATAAGTATCAATGCATATATTCACATGCAAACGTGAAGCCGATGACATGTGGGCCGAGATGAAAGGCGGCTATAAGAGGTAGATTGAGGTATCGCAAGTCGCAAAAATGCAGCTTAAGATAAAGGTTAGGGTATAACTAATTATAGGAAGTTTCTAAGTATTGCTGCTTTTATTGATATGTTTATATGATCATTATAGTTAAGTATTACTTAACAAAGAGAGAAAGTAACAAGTCATAAACAACAAGATATAGTCATTCATAATGTATGAAAATTGCTCGCATGATTAATATCATGCGAGTAATTGCTCGCCGTATAACCATTATGCATTGAATTGAATGTTAGTGGCGAAATACAATCTTATAATCAGTTTAAAATCATCTACCTCGCTGCATAAACAGTAGAACACGTTGAAACAGTAGTTTAACGAGACATGGCTCTCAAAATACAGCGAATTCGAAAGACGTCGATAATAATCAGCTTTTTCATATCATTTTGCAGTGTTCACAGGTGTTACAATTCTACACTAATTATGGAAACTTGGTCTAATTTCAGGTAAAGAAACTCGAGTCAGAAAGAGATCACTGGAAGAAATGCTTCGAGCCATTGAAGAAGAAGTTGAAGGAAATAGAAGAATCAGAGTCAGGATTACGCATAGCACTTGAGAAAGCGGAGAGAGACGCTAACGCATTAAAGACACAGAATACAAACCTAGTTGCGATGTTTGGCAAAGCTGATGCGGAAGCGAAGAAATCCGAAGCTGCTTTAAAGACTCTCGACGCTAAGTTTAAGGTTCGTAATCAGAAAAATCCGTCATATGCAAACACTTCTGTTGGCTATTGGTATTTGCTGTTTGTCGTTTCGACAGCAGGCTGTCCTCATAATACTCTATAGGGAGTGAAAAGGAGAGACTGTTGTCAAGTTAACAAATAGCAAATCGAATAGCCAAGTGCATCACAGCTGTACTTAGAGACAGCAATTAACTTTGATTATAGATAGTGCTGTCACTTTATTACAATAACAATAAATAAGGCAACGTGATTCTTTGAATGATATTTAATTTTATTAATATCTCTAGTACGGCTGTAAGATTATTATTTGACAGCTTGGACTATAAATAAATATTGAACAGAAGTCATTTTCGATGGGGAGAGAGAGCAAAATATAGTGAGTATGAGCCCAATAACAATATAATGGTCTAGATGATAAAAATCTAGAAGGAAACAGATAGAGACTGTACTGAAAGCTTTTACACAGACTAGGTTAACAAAAATCGATTATTTTAAAATAATTTGCCCAATGCTAAATTAAGGCGTTAAGATATTTTTATGATGCTATTTTACTATTTGCGAAAAGGTTAATAATATCAACCTAGAACTTATTCATATAAACAGCTGATAGATTTATAAAATAAAAATCAAATTGCAGAAAGAAGTGGAACAACTGCGGAGGCTCAACAAACAGATGGACGCAGACTTTAACAGCCATAAGGAGACATCAAAGAAAACTGAACTATGCTACTTGAACGATCTGGACTGCATGAAGAAGGAACTGAACAGAGCTTCCAAGAATAATCAAGATTTGGAAGTCACCAACAGCGAATTGAAGGAGGAAGTAAGTAGGAAAATTGTAGGGGGATTCGATTGCATGTGTTTAGAATAAAGGTAATCTCACTTATTGACTTAATTGTGAAAAAGTTTATTTTGCCATGACTGTGTTGTTTTATTCCAAACAAAAAAACATTGGTGATATTATCTATGTAAAAAAGAAAAATCTGATTTTATCTAAGATTACAAATTACAGAGTGATGGCAAGATGAACCTTTTGGAATTATCTTAACAATATGGTAACTGTGTGTGTATTGCTAGTGGCAGTATTCACTTTATGTATTATAGCTTCGCTGTATGGTATAGCTAACGCTTTTCTCAAATAGATTAACGTTTTATGTCACAATATTGCATGTTCGCTTGTTTCACGGGTTTTTCGGTTTTGGTTCGATCGCTCGACTCACGGAGACAGTGCATGATAAAGTTCTTCGAATTTTTGTGAGTGTAAATAAGCATGAAGCCGTTACAGAAGACGTTCTAAGAAGGCGTGTGTTCTCAGGTCGAATCTCTGGAAAAGCAGCTAGCTCTAACGCAGAAAGCTTTGACACAGTGCAAGAGAAAGTGCGACGAGAAAATCAAGACTTTAAGCCACGAATTGTCGATAAAAACTGAAGAGCTTGAAGAAATGAGGAGTGAATCCATGAGGCAGTCTTACCACGCGTCTCGTGTTGAATTGCAACCGGAGAGGACAGAGTATATAGATGAAGGATATTCGGTTTATACGGCGGTGCCGAAGAAAACTGATTACGGGAGAATGCACCACAGTATGAGCTACATTACATCCGACGCTCGATGTTCCTGTCCGTCCATGAGAAGTCAACTAGTCAGCCAACTGATCGAGGATTTGTTCGATAGAATACATAACACAGTAGACGAAGATCTGACAAGGCTTTGTAAGGAAATCGCTCCCCCGTCCGGAAGAGAAGTCACCGTTGAAGCCAAAGCGAAAATCACTAATTACCTCTTAATGGCGATATCTAAGGAGCTGGTCAGGTCCATTGGAGACGCCGACGCTAAGACTGATACCGAGGTATGTACGGTTGTGGATTAAACTCTTAATCGAATGTGACTAAGCTGATAATATGTTAGCTAAGTGATATATTTACTTGGATACTAATAATAACCATGATCAGATGCGGTGTATGCATAACCTATGGGATCATTAAAGTTCAGCTCTTACATGTCAATCACTGACCCCATATTCTAACAGTATAGGAATGGTTACATCTTATTTTACGACTTTTCATTGATTTCATGATGAATTTCATAGCCATTTTCAATGAATGCAATATGAAAATACAATATTACAGAGTCTTCAAGAGGAATCTAAAAAATATTCTTTGTCTGACCATGTAAATTAGGATGGCTAACCCTTTGATATTTCTATAAAATCAGAATTATTTGTCTGATCTTACATGAAGTTAAAGCACTTGTGTTATGAAAAGTAGAAACTACGAAAGTATCGACTCATTTAAGGAGTCGCGTATCGTAGCATATTTATCGTCTATGGTATTTTGCTGGGTATAACAGTAAGAAAATATCGCGTCTGTTGTCCTGAGAAAACGGCCAGAAGTTACGCTAGCAGTGAACATTTTATAGAGGGCTGCGGTTATCTTGCGGTTATCCTAGTTCTTCTGTAGGCAGGATAATATTTTCTCAGACATGGCGCTCTGATTTGAGCAGATCATAAAAAATCATGCATCATCGTGCCCGTAGCATTTTAGGAGTGGCAGCGCGCCGTTGTCATTCGTGACGTATTCCGTGGGTGGTTAGTCTAGCGGTAACAGTCGTGGCGAATTCTCGTCACAGCGGTTGGCGTCAAAGCGGGAGTATTGCACGGCGCCGCGCAGCTCACCAAGATCGTGCTAGTCTATTACACCGGGCGTTTAAATTAATAAGATCGCAGATAAGGCCTTTTTTTCGGCCTGTAGGGGACTTTAGACTAGTACTCTTAGGCCGGGCGCTTTGATTTGAGTAGATTATAGAAAATGAAGAGATCTTTTCGTGGCGTTATGTTTTATTGTGGAAGCGCGCCGTATCATCTATGACGTGCTCGGTGGGCGGTGACAGTCGCGGCGCTCTGATTTCAGCAGATACGTTAGTTTTACCTATAGTAAAACAATACTATAGTGTTCGTGGTCATGCTATTAGGGAGCATCATAATATAGAATAGCGTTCTTCTGTTAGTAGGAGGACCTAGGTAGTAGTAAGTAGGTACTTTATTAGGCAGGCTGTTCTAAGTAGACCATAGAATTTCCAAGTCGTCTCGTTATCATGCCCGCAATATTTTAGGAGTGGCAGCGCGCCGTGTCATCCATGACGTATTCCGTGGGCGGTTACTCCGGCGGTGACAGTCGCGGCGAGTTCTCGTCGCTGCGGCTGGCGGGCAACGCGGGCGTATTGCACGGCGCCGCGCGGCTGGCCAGCGTGAGCTGCGCGTGCGCCGCCGCGCGTCTGTGCGCCGCGATGCCCGACATAGCGGACAGCGTCAAGCTCTGCCAGGAGGTGAGTGAAATAAACCACTGCTCGCTTAGTGAAGGAGTTTTGTAATTCCCCTCTAACTAGTCAACGCTGCACATATTTCTGTTTTTTACGTTAAAAGGGCATAGCATATAGCATGCATGTAGCCCACCTAATGGCGGCCACCGTAGCCTGTAGTATAGACGCTTGCGATACCAAAAATATCACTCGCGCAATTGCATACCCTGACACAATCCCCGCCTCTTCAAATTAGGGTTTCCACCTTTTTTGTCCAAATAAAGTACATTGGATATCAAAACTAGATAAAAAAAGCACATTGTGTCCATAATAAAGTAATTTTTATTCCACTTTATTCGTAAGCTTAAAAATATATTTTACGTTGCTTTCTAGCAATTTTTAATAAATAATTTGTAGCTTCTAAAAATGTAGATCTTTTCCGCAACGGAAAAGGTAGTACAAAGTACAAAGCCATACAGCCATACGTCAAACAATCGAACCAATCAGCGCTCACAGCTGAAAGCAACGACGCAATAAGAACCAAGTTTTCTATCTGTGTTTTGTGGTCGGTAGAATGCTTCAAGTTAGTTCAGTTAATATAATTCCTACTTTTATTGTTCCCAGGAAGTTTTGGATCACGGAGATGTTAAGATTATGGAGGAGCAGTTGGCGAATGCCATAGAAAGTATTGTTGTGAGTACCTACTTTTTATTATTTTTACTCTTGTTCTCTTCAACTGTAAATTGATATTTATAATTTTACTTCTTGTTTTGTTGATCTGTTTTTGAATAAACATACTTAGACAATACGTTACCAGGGTTGTTGTAGGGTTTTACTTCAAATTAATTGAAGTGCCTACATATTTAAGATGAAGATTTTTTAGTTATAAATACTTTACTTACTCTCTTGTTAACAAGTTTATTAAAAATTACTATTTTTATTACTGTAATGCAAGATGTAACTTTAGAAGTTTTAACAGATGAAGAAGAAGTTTCAAAGAAACTTAGTTTAGTGCCGTTCTATTGAAGAATGCAATTAGAGTTCTGATTTTGAGAAAAATAGCTTTTAAAGCTAAGTTGGAGCTCTTAGGAAGGCAGAAATATAATGGTGTCTTTAATTGCGTATCTTAATGAACAAAATAAAATTGTCAATTTTTAAGCAATGCTTTTCATTTAATTACATCGTTATTGTTGTTATATTTTATTAGGCATGCATCTGCTCAATGTTTAAATCATAAAAAAATATTACTAGAAAAAAATCCACGAGGTAGCATAATGGTCAGTGCATTCGCGGGATAGCGAAGGGTGCAGGTTCGAGTCCCGTGAATGGTGAAATTTTTTCTAGGAACATTTTCTTATGATAGTTATTATTATTATTAAGAAATGCCTTTGTTTTTTCATTATATCACATACAAGTTGATTGTTTCAGAATTGTCCATCTTGTGCTTTGGGTACAAATGCGATAGTTTGGAGCACGGATGTCTAAAGCAGCCTTACGTGCGAATTTGTGTATGTACTTATGTAATAATTAAAACCATAATATTAATTTGAAGTGACCTCTTTATAAATAGTTACTAAAATTATCATTATCAGCCTATTTATGCCCCTACTGCTGGGGCACAAGCCTTCCCTATGGATGTAATAGGGAGATTGAGCCATGATCCATCACGCGGGCTCAGTGCGGATTGGCGGGTATTAACGACTGCGGATGCAGCCGGGACCAACGGCTTAAAGTGACTTCCGAAGCATGGAGGAACTCGAGATAGAAGATTTTTGGTAACCCATCCAATGACCGACCACTGCGAAAGTTGCTTAACTTCAACGATCGCACTCGAACGCGATTACCACGTGCGCCATCGAGCTCCTCTATAGCAAATGTATACTTGGTTGTGAATAAACTTTATTCCGACGCAGTTAGGTTTTGGTGCATTTCGTAGATGTTAGTTCGTATTTATAGAAATTGGTCTATTCTTTAAATGTAATAGAATTTTAGAGATTTGGATTTAATAATAGTTAATTAGTACTAACTTAGATTTGTCTGTATTTACTTAAACATGGACTTTCTATAAGTGCCGCCATTGTATAAAATTGACTTTATTAAAATCCATTTTTTATTTGTTTCAGGTTATAAACCTCCACCGACCTCACTCTGGTGCCTTCATTAGTTAAGCCAGTTTATTATAAACGAACTGTACATATGTTTGTATTATACATTTTTAATAATACTCTTGAATAAAATAATTAACGTAAGCGAAGCATTATCGAACAAATTGTACCTTCCGCCGATGCAAACATTTTGGAATAATTTTTCACGTGTTGTATTTTTTTTCGACGACGTTTTTTGTGCCAATAAGTGAAATTGTTTACGAATTATGCATCATTTAGTTTTGTTTATTTGTAAATATTAATCAGCGATTCGAATTTAATTTGTATCTAACATCACTCACAAGTTAGCGACCTTGTATCTTTGTCTATTTTATTGAATTGTTTTTACAAAAAATGGTAATTTTAATCGACGAATTAAAATGATTATTTAAATTTGAACTTGTTTTATTTTGACTTATGAAATAAATGATTTTTAACTCTAGAATATAATGGTACGACTTAAATACTTAAACGCAATCGATGGAAGTACTTATTATCGAATATTGGTGTTAAATTTTAGAAGAATTTTCATGATTGAACCCAGTTAACATTTGTTAACTCCTCAAAAGTACTCAGGATAGGACATTAGACGTTCGACTTATCCGTAACTCTCTATGTCCAGCAAACTCACCAATGAATTCTGGTATTTCAAAAATGCCATTTTACTTTCTTCTTTCCACAAAGGAAATTAATTGTGCTCTTCCGCTTAAAAACACTGTGGAAATGGTTTTGTATTATATACAAAGGTTATTAGCATACTTAGCTCTGTTAGGTAAATCTGTAATAACACAGATTAGGGGAGCCCAAGCTGGGCTCATTTAGGAATTTACTCAATCGCGGCAGAATAACATAAGGGGGGTTACCTTGCACCTTTTAAAGTACTCCCAACATACCTGAGCTCTTTATATAGGGACATCGACAATCTTATATGGCTTTGAACGTCTAGAGCAGCAAAAATTCAACAACCGGTGAACCCTCCAGTAGCTCCTATTCAAAAGACAAAGATTTGGACACAACAAAAAGTCATGGCCGATTGATGAAAATTTTTTTGCTGTCTTAGATGTTTGACCCTTCAAAAAGTACTTCACAAGTGCAAGGCTCAGATCCTTATGTTATTCTCCCGCGCTCGAGTAATTCTCAAAATCCCAGCTTGGTGTCTCCTACTACAAGCAACAACTATTATTCATAATTTTCCTGATTAAAACTGCGAAAATCTTCGTAAATATTGCTGGAAATACTTATTTCCTGAGGGTACTATTTCTATTAAAAAGTTTTTATTTTAATTATTCGAGAGCAAAGAAGTCCATCTTTTTATCGCATCTCATTATTCTAGTAGAAAAAAGAATTTTGACATTCAGATCAAAATTCTGCTGACACCGACTTGACACATAATAAGTCATCAAACTTTAGTAATAATGTAAACAAAGTACAAAAAAATATACCCGCTACTACCATGGACACTTCTTCTGAGTTATAAAAGTAAAATGGTAGACAACATTTTGTTAAACTGTCATAGTTCATGTTAGGAAGGCGTGAAACCAGCGCCTTTCGCTATCTGGCGAATGCACCAACCTCCATGTTACCGCGACCATATGGACGTGTCGTCCAGCACTTTCTGGACTGTAAGGCAGAGTCACTTCTTAGCCAGCGGAGCCCAGAAAGTGCTGGAGAAGACCTGAGTACCTCTCTTTTTGCAGAAGTTTGTGTCATCATCATAAATAAGCTACTACTTAATGAAAGAATTTTCCATATCAGAGTATCTTCACAAAAAAAGTATCATATATATTTTTTATTTTTTATAAGAGGTAAGGCATATTGTTTTGTTTTTGTTTTACAGAATTCATGCTGCCTAGCCGAAATAGCACACGAAAGAGTTCAAAAGAGGATTAAAGTTCACAGAGTTTATCCTAAGAGACACAACTGCAACTACTTACCAGCATGAAATCCCAAATCAGTTACAGCATAAAATCCCAAACCAGTTACAGCATAAAATCCCAAACGAGCTCTAAAACAGTTACCATCTGCTCTGATCCTGCTGCACCAGATTCACTGAATAACATCTCGCAATGCTCTTGCGCCAAATGTGACTCGTATAGCTGCTTCGCCTTCAGAAACAGAACTCCCTGCAGTTGTAACCGGTATTGTAGCTTAATCGGAAGCAAAGCATCGTCAAAAATATCCAAGAATGGTGTTCGTATTGTAGAAAGCGTTACAAAAGAACATGTCAAAAAGGAAATAACTTATGATAACATTAAAGATAACATGGAAAAAGAGTCTACCATATCCAATATCTATCCTCGTCAAGACTCCTCCTTTGACACAGCAAAGTTGAGTGCTCAAGTTATGAACGTACCGTATAACGATTTCAAACAATCTATTGCCCATAACACGCTTGAGATGACACGCAATACCACAAATTTGACTAAACTAGACATTTTCAAAAGGATTAAAGAGGCCTACCAAGCATGCAGTTGCAAGGTATGTGAATGTATTATCGGAAGAACTAATGAATGTAGTGATATTTGCAAATGCAAGCCATGTCAATGCAAAGATTGTGTCTCTGTCATGAATAATTTTAAATATAAAGGAAAATGCGTGCGATATTCCTGTGACCCTGTTAAGTGTGACAAAAATGAGTGTAAGGGTTATGTTGTGAGGAAAACCTGTTCTGTACCACAACATTGTAATTGTGATCCATGTGATTGCCTTGAATGCAATGATTTTATTAATAAACCCTGCAACTGTAAGCCTTGCGAATGTATCGAGTGCAAAACTTATTCATTAGCGAAACCGAAAGTGTTAATAGTAGGTCGTGTTGAAGAAGATACTCCGCGCAATTTATGTTCATGTTCACCATGTGAGTGCGCTGAATGTACCCACAGAGCTTTTCCACTAACACCGAGCTCGAGACGACACGAAATGTCCACAGAGATAAGCATACCTACTAATTGTAATTGTGATAGTTGTCCTAGCCAAACATGTGAAACAAACGACAGCGGTAGGTGCTCTTGTGAAATACAGAAACAAGTAATGAGCAAACCGTTTCAGAGAGATACTCTTGACTATGATATTCATAGAGCGTCAATTAAAAATATCAGTATTGTAGAGAAACCATATAATAACACGATAGCTATGTTTGCAGCTTTAGATGACAATCCTCAAAAATTAAAATTATTTAATAAAGATTGTAACTGTGGCGATTGCGAATGTTTGGTGTGTAATAGCAAGAATGGAAATGCTACTGTTATTCAAAATTCACGGCTATATAAATCGTCTTTAAATGAAAGCTCTTGCGATTGCTTGCCGTGTGAGTGTGAGGTATGCAAAGCGGCCAATATTAGAGGTCCAGTTCGAATTCCAAAACCATGTACATGTGACATCTGTGATTGTTTAAAATGTGAAGGTTTCATAAATACGTCTTTAAACATAAATAAAGTTACGGGAAACCCCAAAACATTTCCCACCTGCAAATGTAAACCTTGTGAATGTACTGTCTGCCGGCCAAATTGCACTGAAAATAACTGCTATCGTAGTTATAGCGAATCTACTATTAGTTTTGATCAAGACAAGATTGTAAGTCAAGACAAAGGATTAACGGACATAAAACCTGGGTGTGTCTATAATAAAACCAAAACACATTCAAGACCTGGAAAAAACCTCAATGACTATGGCACAGAAGAACCAAGTGCATCTCACAATTATTTTAATTTAACGCGTCATGACGATTCTGGAACAATAAAATACATAAACAAATTGAACCCTGAGAAATCACCTACAGCAACTCAAGAATCACCAACAGCAGCTCAAGAATGTAATAAAACTTGTCTTATGCGTGACATGTACAAGCAATGTACTGAAAAATACATTCCACAATTCGACAGAAACATGTCGGATACATATTCAGATATTTCAGAATATTGTGTATTGGAAAACTCACAATATAACAATTTTAGAGATAAACTAGCGGTTACAGTGCAAAGCAATGTAACAAAACCTAAAAAACATAACGATATCATCTCATCATATACAACTAGACGTTTGATTGGAGGTTCTGTTGACAAATGCTTGAATGATATTACGAAAATGAACATAAACACCACATCAACTAAAACAAAGAGCATACTAGATAACCAAGGAATGCCAACAGATAACAGCAATACTAAAAATTTACCAAGTGAATATACAGAGAATAACAACATCACGCTAAGTTCAAATAACACTAGGAGTCGGTCAAAGAGTGGTATGGATAAATATAGTGATAAGGACCTACAAAATAAACAAAGACATTTACTCAATTCCGAGAAAATTACTGAAAGAGTTGTGGGTTCTCTAAATCTGGCAAGCAAAACTAATAAAGCAAAGATTAACAACTTAAAAGAAAGCTTAATAAGTGAATCAGAAACTTATAAAGAGCCAACTCCCAGCAATATAATTAAACACACATCAAAAAATCCAATAGATTTTGAGAAAGTAAAGCACAGTTTACAGCAAGCCAAAGAGTTTTCAATCGAACTCATAAAACTTTTGAAACAGTATGAAAAAGCAAATGATGATTATTATGAATATTCGAACAAATTTTCCAAAAAGTATGATGTACATTACACTGGCAGAAAGGAAAGTGAAAAATGTGATGCACCATTCAGAACAAAATTTCACCACAATATAAGGACAGTTGATTCTTATAGTTCTAACAGTATTATAGAAAAAGATGAATTACATAAATCAAATCCACTGAAAAACAACAATTTGGGATCAAGTACAGGATATAATTTACCAACAACTTCCAACAAGTTGGAATTAATAGATTTCTTACTAAGCGAAGACAATAAAAAATATATATGATACATCGACGACAAATTTGATTCGAAAGAGCAGCAAGATTACACATTAGAGTCATGTAATATGAACAACAGTAAGAATCAAGGTAATGGTGCCAGTTAAAATATTTAACTATTAACCAAAGAGTAATGTCTTTTCTTCCATATAAAAAGAACAGTATCAAATAAGACTTAAAGAGAAACACTTTTACCAAAAAAGTGAAGTATAACGAACGTAAACGTATGTAAGTGTTATTATACCAGACTGAATTCGAGCCAGCTCACTTCGCGATACCGATTCATAACATCTCAACCAAGTAAGACATCAAACTATATAGTTACACGCGTGCCGGGACTGGCCATTAGATTTAGATCAAATATTTAAAAAATCTAAATATTACTGTCTAGAAAAAAATCCACGCGGACCAGGCAGCGGACGAGACTCGAACCCGCATCCTTCGCAATCCGGGCGAATGCACTGACCATTATGCTACCACGGCCCTATTAGCCGCGTCGAAATTTTCCTAGCGTTAGCCTTAGCTTTACGTTTTCTAGTAAACTTTTCTTTAGATTTAAACATCTAGCAGTTAAATGCTTAAAAATAAATAAAATCATTACTGTCTACTTAATTCCAGGGCGTGCCCAACATCTGCGAATAGATAGAGGAAATAAAAGTCCTTAGTCAAAGAAAAATATCGGACCACCAGATTCTCTTTAAATGGAAAACACCTCGAATCATTACCAATGTAAAATGATATGAGGCATGTTATTTTATTTATACTCTATTGAATTTATAGAACATTTTGAGTAAAGCTCAACGAAAGTACGTGGAACACAACGGAGTGCCCATAAGAAATCTGTGTAGCGTAGGTTTTAGCCTCTCAAGGCAGAGGCAAATAGTCGTTAACGCTATGCTATATAACACTATGCTCTTTGGTCGTTTGTGGGCAAAGTTGCTGTTGCTTTGGGATGAATATATGTAGGAGATGGGGTCAGGGGAGATAGCGCGCTAGTGGCAATGGTACCTCAAGCGTTTACCACAAACTATGGTGACGACTTACCGTCAGGCAGGTTATATGCTCGTATGCCTTTCGTTGTGGGTCATGGCCCAGTCTCCCTATTTTATCCATAGGGAAAGCCTGTGCCCCAGCAGTGGGGACATTAATAGGCTGATGATGATGATGCCTTTCGTATTTACGTTTCGTATTATTATTTTAGCTGCTTGCAAATGGGCAATAAGTCTAGGTAGGTAGACATTTGCAAGCAACCTACCTAGAATCTAGGTAAACGTATTGCCCATTTTCAAACAGCTAAAATAATAACACAACACTTAAAAATAAAAGGCATACAAGCATATAACCTGCCTGATAGTAAGTAGCCACCACAGTTTGTGGTACAGGCTACCGAGATTCTAGGTAGACTTATTGTCCATTTTCTAGGTCCTAGATGATCCGTCCAGATGACTACAGTAAGCTGTCTGCAAAACCTGAAGCGGGTGCTCATAATTATCGGCGATTGTTTCCCCTGCTAACACTAATCTACAGATCATACCAAATTGTACGATAAAGTTGTTAATCGAATTGCTGTCTTTTGATTTTCCTTACCTATTTCTACTTTATATAATTTAGAGTTCTCAATAAATTACCCAGACTCTATTCCCATTATTAATAAACGAAGAATAAACTTAGTTTAATTACGCTGTGTTTTTTTCATATCACTCGTGCCATTTTTAATTCAATGAACAGAGGAAAAAGACAGAACATCAGAGCAGAGATTAACTAATCCAAACTAAAGAATAGGTGATCTCATGGTAATCCAAATGTTTGAAAGAGTTGCCACTATCAAAGTAAGGTACTACATAATGCCTTCCCGCCCATAGGTGCGTTATTAACGTCCGATATTAAACTACTTGACCGTCACTGAAAGCTTTATATTGAGATAGCACTTCCGTTTCCCGTCGAATTACCATCAGTTTCCGTACTTTTATTCACCTTATATCCGGTCCAGTGGCGACACCTGGCAGAAGCGCGGCCATTTTTGTTTTCCTAAGTTTTGACAGCGCCATATTAACTCATTGGCGTTCTGACTCCCGTCGAAGCAACACGCGCTCAATCTGAGCGATCGTTCTGAGATTTTAAAGGTTTTATTATTATTAAGTGATAAAACTGTAAGTAAAACTATTTTATTTAACGGTTTTTGCCGTTCGTGTTATTCCAAATAGGTACTTTACGTATTAAAAGTGAAGGAACCGTAAGTAAAATTATTATTCTTTTTGATAGTTTTTGCAGCCCTTGTGATAAGGGATATTTCAAACAAATATGTTAAATTGTGCAACACCTTTGTTTTAAAAATAATAATAAGCCGTGAGTAAAACTGGGCGGTGTTTCAACGTGCGTTTGTGTTTAAAAAATTAAAGTACCTACATTAAAGTAAATTTTGCAATACTTTACGACCGTCTTGGTCGTTTGTAATTAAAACTATTTTAAGAGTGTTTTCTCTTGGTACTCAATTAATGTTTCCGTATAAGTAAGTGTAAAAGTAAATTGGTAAATGTATTACAAAATACTTAATTAAATTATTTTACAGTTTAGAGTGAAGGACATCGGTCAATATTGACATTTCAGCCGCCGACTGACTAGCATTAATGGCAAAAGCAGCAATATGTGTGGATCTAGTCATAATTGTTCTTCGAGCAGCTGCAGTAATAATTGGTTGAATTTGTCGTCTTCTGGTATAACGAAAGCGGCATCGCTGCCTTAAGAAAAGTAGCCCTTTTATTAAAAGATTGTTCGAGGGGTAAGTGAACTATGTACAATCTTCATAAGGTATTTGTAATGTCGATGTGCCGTTTTCTGAACATGGCCAGCTATCAATATCAAAAGGCTTATGAATAAAAAGTTCTAACATTTTACTGACCAATACACGTTATAAATATACTCATGTGAGTCGTGTGACTAAACTAGGATAAAGGAAGGCTCTGTTCGAAAGACATTCAACGTTTATTTTAAACAATATGCTGATGTAAATTGAAAATTATAATCATAGTCCAGGCTTTATCAACCTGGAAACAAACAATGAGGTAAAGAAGTAGGTATGATGATAATTTATGATATATCACGTTCCTGACAATAATTTTCTTTCAGCAAACGCATATTTTAAAATAAAAATTAATAATTGCGGGAAGGCACCTGCTCAGTTAATTTTATTAACGAAAGTGATAAGATAACAGAATCGTTTCTGAGGTATTTTACAGCTAGTGAGGGCACTAAGCTAAAAAGAAAAAACTAAAGCACTGCTTAAGAAGTTAGTGATCTCTGTGATGAAGCACCACCATCCAATCACCACATAATAATTCAGATCTTTTGAGGTTGTTTTTCTCGTATAAAGTTATACTTATAATTATATTTTGTCATGGATTTAAGTGATTGACATTTCATCAACCTAATGAGCAACTCACGCAGAGGCAAGTGATAGCTTAGCTCATAATAAGCTTCATCTCATGAAGCCCAAGTCGTGTCAGGACATGCCCTCACATGGCGTACCTACACATATGAGTACCGGTGGCAAATCACCCTCGCGGGGTGCATATTATATATAATTTGTTTCCACTACGTGAAATCTTATGAAATGCCTCTAATGCCTTGCCTACATATACGAGTACCGGTAACAAATCACCCTCGCGGGGTGCATATTATATACAATTTGTTTCCACTAGGTGGAACCTTATGAAATGCCTCTAATGCCTTCCCTACATATACGAGTACCAGTAACAAACCACCCTCGCGGGGTACATATTACCAAAACTCTAATGACCGCCCCTCGCGGGGGTATATTATGTATAATTTGCTTCCACCGCATGGAACTCTTTATGAATAAGGACATGCTTTCCATGGCTGGCCTACACATACAAGTATCGGTAACAAATCGTTGATGGAAGAATATCCTCATTAATCTTATAATCGCCCTTGTGGGGTCATATCACACATAATATATTATTTCCATTACGTGGAGCTCAATATATATTCTCCTTAGGACATGTTCGCTTATGGAGTTCGTACTGTTATGTAAGCACCGGTAACATACGACACTCGAGTGGAGCAAATTATGCATAATTTAACATATTGTCTATTCGTTATTCATAATTTATTTTTGTGACCATGGGGTCTGTAACAGTGCAAACAATTCGAAACATTAAAAATAAGTAATTTGAAAATATAATAAATGTCGCTTGACATAATTCATTACTTCCATCGTGTGGAAATCTATACATCAACGCAACGCAACATAGCCGCTCATGGCTTGCGTACACACATAAGTATCGGTTATAAACTACCCTCTTAATAGACTAGAAAGATCAAAGATCGAATGTTGATGTACCCCGTTGTGAAGTGCAATGTAGGTACACTGGTTTTTAAGGTGTCGCATACTCCGAGGTCCGGTGGGGCAAATCATTGTATGATAAAAACGAGCATCGGTGCCTAAGTCTTGGTTCTTAACACATATTTATTCAAAATCATACTAATCTATGCATCATCATTATGCATTTCTATGCGTTAGCCCATAACACAAGCCTTTCAATGCCTATTAAGAGGCTAGGCTAATTGGTCTGAAGTGTAGAGTCGATCACTACGGTTGTTAATGTTTGAAATATAGTGCAGGAGAATTGGTGAATTGGGAGCACCACAAATAATTCTTAAATAAATTTGGTGGTATAGCATGCCATTCAAAAGCTTGTTTATCTAAATCCAATATATATCAAACTCCAATCTCAAGTGCAGTACACTATAAAAATGTAAAGAATTCTAAGTTTTCTGCAATTTAAGGACTACCTGCCAGATAGATAGATGATAACATATTTTCCCTCGAAAATAACAAAAGCAAACCAAATGCAAAAGCAAACATGCAATATTGGAAATGTCGTGTATGAGGTGTCCGAGATGGTCAACATGATCATTTTGATATATAAGTGGTGCTATGTACTGAAGAAAGATTGCACGATCTACCAAATTCTTGAAAGGTTTTGAAGATCATTGTATGCAATTATCCACTTTATGTTATTTTTAGTAAAAAATACTGAAAACTGTTCTTAATATTAAACTTACGCTTTCTAACCTTGCCACGACTGTCTGGAATAAATATACTTTAAACCCTACGTATACTACATGCACACCTCAAGTAAGCTGTGTAAACCTTATAACTTAATCTTTATTAAGTATTAACTAATACATTTTTTTTTTAATTTTTTTTCCTCATTATTACACATGTAAACACTATGTATACATCTGCCAAACTGTGTAACAGTTTGTCGGCAGCAGCTCTCGTTATAATATATGTATAAAAACCTATCTAGTTCAACAAAGAAATAAAAAACAAAAACACATGCACATACACACAGGCACACATAACTTACATACACACGCGCGCACACACAGTAAGATACTTTCCCTTTTTTTAAAACAATAACAATCCAAAATATTCTATTAAACTTTTTTAAATAGTTTACCTCTTAAAAACATTTACACACCCACGCGCACACATAATTATTATACATAAGTTAGGTACATTACTAGTACAGGCATACTATGATATGAATGATGACTTACACCAAAACTTGCAGATTTTATCAGTAATCTATTAACACACAAATATCTAGTTATGTATACCGTTTTTGATTTTTGTAATTTAACATTAAAAATACTCGTTTAATAAACAACCCAGCTTTAACTAACCTACCACTTAAGGTTTTCCCTCTCTTTATGGACACAACGATAGGTAATGCTTGCGCAGTGTACTCTTTAAATGATTTTTGGATAATATATTTTTAAGAAGATCATATGGCAGTTCATTGAGCAAAGTAGGCGTGGACCAGCTCCTCACTCGCTTACCATAATAGTTTTTCTCTATCTCGGAACAACAAGTAGCGGCTTCTTAGATTGACGGGTAGCGTATGTATATTCTCTTTCTTTTTTTAACTCATATTTATGATATTGTTCACTTAAAATTGCGACCTTTACTTTTGCCTCTATTGGTAGTATTTTACAAATTTTAAACAGTTTTTCATAGTTGCCTTTGAGTTCCTTTTTTTCCTTTACTGATATTAAGAGCTTAAGTAATCTTATTTGTAGTGACTTAATTTTATTTAAATGAACAGGATATGTAAGACTGTAGGTATTTAATCCATACGACATTATTCAATCTGCTAGCGCGTAATAGAGAATATACATAATGCCCCTGGTAACGGTATATTTTATACTGTGTAATTTTCCTAGAATTGATCGTAATTTATTACAAACTACATTGACCTGCAAGTTCCAAACAAAGTGATTATCGACATCTAATCCTAAATACCTATAAGAGGACACATATTCGAGATGTTCACATTTACAGTTAAGTTTGTTATTGTGCAAGCAGTCATAACTGTGACCTTTTATGCGTATATCAATATTCTTATCTTTCGTATATGGAGAAAATATACACATACTCTTTGTTTTGTTGATATTTATGATTATACCATTGTCGTGTGCCCAACGAACTATATTGTCAAAATCCTCTTGTGTAGCTTTTTGAATATTATCCCTGTCGGTGTCACTGTATATAATGCATGTGTCATCTGCGTACATGTACGACCTGCATTTTTTGATAACATTAGGCATACTGTTAACATGCATTATATATCCGACCGGTCCATACACAGAGCCAGTAGGTACACCAGATTTTATAGTTCCCTCCCTGCTTTCCTTTCCGCATACACACACCTTAATCTTTCTCTCTCTTAAATACTCCCTAAACCATGAGTTTACTGGCCCTCTGATTCCACACTCCTGCATGGACTGCAATAATTCCTCGTGACCAAGGGTATCAAAAGCTTTTTTGAAGTCTATGAATATAGCATAGACAATATTTTGTTCATTTAATGCATTGTTTATATCATCTGAAAACCTAGACAAAACCGTTGTTGTACTTCTCTGTGGACGAAAACATATAAATGACCTTGATCTAAGAAATGAAAAAACAAAAGGAAAAATTATAATCAATTATAGGTTCCAGGATGGCAAATGAATTTCATAAAATCTGGTCTAAAAACTTCGTAATAGCATAATTTATCACGGCAACCCTGCAACAATATAAAAACTATACCTGAGAATTTCGTTGTAAAAGAGTAAGCTTCAGAAGTTGATCGGTTTCAACATTTTTGTCATTGTGTGGGGTTGTATCAACCACTCCCTACTTCTAACAATAATTATGTATTCACTGCAATCGACCTTGCAATCACTTCCCGCCAATCTAATATGAAAGCTTGGGAAGTATAATTGAAGAACACGGCTCTACCACTTCACTTCAATCTCCACTCCAATCATATAGATATGCTAGCACTACGCTTTTCATCATATTCTACAAAGAGCGACAGCTCTGTCTGTCTGTATCAGATGGCTCGAAAACGCTGGCTTGCGTGGTTGCATTGGTCTAGGAACAAGAATGTTTATCGGAATAATCCCGCAGGTTGTGGACTCGGATCTGAGCTAACACGATTTTTGAGACTTATTTTTAACACGTGACTTATCTCAAAATAAGTACTATTATTTTAAATAAGTCAGTAGTTTTTACATGATATACCAATGGATGATAAGTCTAATATCTAAGCTCGCCTGTCTTGGCAAACACATATATTGAAGTCGATTGTATTTTTTTTTTTAAAGAATCGGTCCGTAACCCACTATTCTGGAGAATCTATAAGTTAACTTATTTCCTTTTCTTCAATAATGTACTCGTTACATCATAATGATCTGTTTCAAATACCTCGTCATACTAGTTGTTGTTCTGAACATCATACAGTAATTATGCTGCGTATTATTTGGTTCAGCATGTGACTTGTTCCTACTTCAAATTAACCCGAATCATTGTATTGGTACCGACGAAGATTAGTTTTAGCCTTGTTTTGGTTCAAAACAGGTGAAAGTAGTTAGAGACAATCCGATTTGTGACATGTACCGAATACTGATAATTGTAAATGGGACCCTGATTTTTGGTACTTAAGAAAAAAGTACAGTCTTGTAAAATGTAAGATTCAGTATCGAACAATTTTACTTCTTTTTCTCGCATTCCTACGCCTTTTTGTGATAAACAAAGATACAAATGAATGCTACACAAGGAAGCGTCCGGTCATTAAGAAAGCAAATATATATATATATATAATTAAGTAAGCAAGTTTAAGTAAAGGAATATAGCAATCAGCTAATACATATGTTAAAGCAGCTTCGTGAGCGTGAAGAAATTAAAGGCGGGATTCAAATAATGTTATTTGATCCATTTTCAAGCTTTTTCTTTTCTATAAACAGTTTCATATAATCTGATAAATGTTAATATTTAAATTTATCATAAATTGTCACATTGGCGTATATATCTATGTGTGTGGCGATCACCAGGCGATAACAAACAGGTCTCAATATAAAGCTTTCAGTGACGGTCAAGTAGTTTAATAGCAGCATTTTACCTGAAATAAAATGCATATTAAAATACTTACCTCACTGAAAGCTTTCACTTTAAATTCTGCCTGGTGAAATAATTGAGCCAATGAGTTAATATGGCGCTGTCAAAACTTAGGAAAACAAAAATAGCCGCGCTTCTGCCAGGTGTCGCCACTGGACCGGATATAAGGTGAATAAAAGTACGGAAACTGATGGTAATTCGACGGGTAACGGAAGTGCTATCTCAATATAAAGCTTTCAGTGAGGTAAGTATTTAATTATGCATTTTATTTCAGGTAAAATGCTGCTAATAACGATGCAGCCGAAGAACTTGCGAGGAGAGATGCAAATTCAAAGGCCATCGGACCCATTCCTTTCAATCTTCAATCATGAAATACCTTCAGCTGAGAAGCTGGTTAAGGGACTACATACAAATGCAAGCGACGGAATGGTGGATCTCGATGTCGTGATTGTAGGTAATCCAAGGAGGCTATGCCATACCTAGACACAGCTGACCAGGCGCCTGGACAGGAATAGCCTGAGACTGGTGACGGGGAAAATGCGCATTAAACAAACACTTTCACACTCTAGGGATGACTGATAGTCCCCTATGCAAAGCATGCATTGAGGCAGAAGAAACAGTGGCACATGTACTCCTTGAGTGCACAGGTGTCGCCCAGATCTGGAGAGAGACTCTCGGTACACTGGAATCCCTCGTGGAAGCTGAGAAGACAGGGAAGACTGATCTGCTTCTGGAAGGAGGCGGACTGGTTAGAGAAATCGGCCGCTATGGCTCACGTACAATGGTTTAATTAAGGATTAAGTACGTAAACCATATCATCTAACATAGATCATTGACCGATTATATCGTAATGTGAAATCATGTATGTTACATAACGACGCAATATGCGTATAGCAGTGTGTAACTTCGTAGCCGTTCGTTAACGGTTGCACTTATTTTAAATGAGAAAAACATACAAGACAAGGCCTATAGTAGCCGTTACAACGGGAATTAAGACAATTGGATGGATACAATATTTTTGTGCGGTATTATCATAGATTTCAAATAGTGCCGTTAATCATGAGCAAATAAAATTTCAGTGAATGTAGCGAGCAAGTGTCGAGTACCGAAGTCGATACAACTTGATGAGTTCATGGACCTAAGCCGCTCTAGCATTACAGTAACAAAAAGAGTATTAACCATTACAGTGGAGTTTGACAGTAGTCTGACAGTTAATGCTGATATATCGCTTTATCATATCCCGTTTCGGTGGTCATGCTAGAGGGGCTGATCAAGGAAGTTATATACCTACCGATACTTATATAACTTCCTTGCCTAAGATATCGTAGGGGTTTGCTATATGTTCTCTTGCATTATATTGCGAAAACCTTAGAGAGTACATAACAAACTGACAACTTTAATGACAGTGTACTGCAAAGTCAAACTTATTTACAAGCATTCACGCAAAGGATTAGTTGTATTTAAAACTGAAATTTACCGTAGAATATTAATATTAGTGCAAAATGAATAGAAATCAACGCAGACTTGGTAGGCAGCTTCAGAAGCGGTATGAGGAAACTAAATATGCGAAGGCAGAATTAGAAGAAGTTTTGCCACCGAAAAGTAAGAGGGATCCGGCTAAGCTACAAAAGTTTACGACCAACAAATGTTGCTTTGTAACGCCCGTATACGAAGATTTTGGGCAAATTACTGAAGCTAACGAGACACCTGTTAAAGTAAAATCCTGTTTCTTTTTTTCTATAACAACTAAAGTAGTATGCTAGCACGGGGTCTGCTTGATCATAAGGGTCTTTGACTATAGATATTCTTAAAGCATTTTTTCGGGAATACATCAAATAGGGTATTTGACAAGTTTTAGAAAACGATCTCACTGTCTTGAGTACTAATGTTTATGGAGTCCGTAAAATGGATATTCATAATTCTGTTGTGTATTTCAGTAAAAATAACCAAATCAAAAACTCCATTTTCAAGTTGCCGCGAAAACTTTTCTCTGGACAATATGGCGTCTTACTAGTGTGTGACGTCACACGACTGATATTAAAACGTCAAACGATAAAATGCAATGTCACTTTAACCGGAAGTTTACTGGCGTGTGACGTCATTTTAGGCTCCGCCAATCCCAAGCGTTTTAGGTCACGTGACAATAGATAAGAAAACTATTATCTTTTTCGTTAGTTTTTAGTAAAATCATGAATATTTTTTTTGTGAAAATAGTAAAAACCCCTGCCAATATTCATTCTATACACAGATGCTAAGAATTGGCACTTTATTTTTAACACTGTAAAATACCCTATTTATATCTGGAACGGGTCCTTCGAAGTTACTTGTCTCTCACAACACAAGTATAGGCAGTCTGCTCGTGCTACTTATTTGTTGTTAAATACGATGTATTTATAATTTCTTTAAATTAAATAAACTTAATGCACGCTTATAAACTCGGTTCCAGTACCAAGATATACTTAAAGAGCAATTCGGATTCGACCCGCTCATGCCGGAAACAATAAACCAATTAAAGGAATTGAGAAAAGTGCTTTGTAATAACACGGCTAAAGTTGAGAATTGCTCTCAATACGCCGAAGATAGTAGTAACAGGTGCGGCCCGGAGTATGCCAAAATCGATGGAACGCGTTGGCAGACCGTTAATAATGTTGCGGAAATCGACAAGTACATAGCTCATGAAAACGGTAATCCTTTAAAACACTTAAAACTATAACGAGCATCTTTAATCTTGTGTGATGAATACGAGCATTTGTACTTCAGTCATGGACGTTTAATATGTCATCATCATCATCATCAGCCTATTAATGTCCCCACTGCTGGGGCACAGGCCTTCCCTATGGATGGAATAGGGAGATTGGGCCATGACCCACCACGCGGGCCCAGTGCGGATTGGTGGGTGCTAACGACTGCAGAGGCAGCCGGGACCAACGGCTTAACGTGCCTTCCGAAGAACGGAGGAGCTCGAGATAGTAAATTTTTGGTCACCCATCCAATGACCGACCACTGCGAAAGTCGTTTAACTTCAACGATCGCAGCCGAACGCGCTAACCACTTGCGCCATCGAGCACCTCGTTTAATATGTATTTCTACATAAATATACTTATATATGTATCAGTATACGGAGTTCAGTATCAGAGATGGCACATGTGGTTAGCGCATTCGGCTGCGATCGTTGAAGTTAAACAACTTTCGCAGTGGTCGGTTATTGGATGGGTGACCAAAACTCTTGAGCTCCTCCGTACTTCGGAAGGCATGTGAAGCCGTTGGTCCCGGCTGCATCTGCAGTCGATAGCACCCACCAATTCGCACTGGGCTCACGTGGTGGGTCATGGCCTAATCTCCCTATTCCATCCATAGGGAAGGCCTGTGCCCCAGGAGTGGGGACATTAAAAGGCTGATGATGATGATGTATCAGTATACGCAATCTATCTGTTACCCTAGTATCACATAATACAAGCCTACAAGCTCGGTAATAATTTTATCATTTTAACATCCACTAAGCTCAGGCACTAACATATGGTCCTTCGAGCCGGATCTGAACCAGCGACCTATGGATGTTTAAAATAAATAAATAAATAAAAAACTTAATGTTTCCAACACTCACACCAATTAGCCTATCCCCAATAGGGTGGTCCTTATTTTGGGTAAGTCGGAATTTCAAACCTCTCACCCCTTGCATATCTCCCATTTGCCAAAAAAAAAAATGTGTGCAAAGTTTAAGCCCAATCGGACAACGTTTACCCGTGGCCCAAGAGGGTCAAAGTTTAATATTGTAGCCAAATGGTAAAAACCATTGGTAAAAACCACCAAAATGGTTTTTTGGTTTCATTATCGCCTTTGATTTTGTTTCATTAATATTTCTGAACGAAACTCGTGAATACTTGCGACTGTGAAATCGATAAGAAACGAAAAGCGTATACGAAACGGATCCTCAGAAATTTCGCGATGTAATGTTAGCATTTCAGGTGCGCAGAATTAAAAAGGATGATGAATAAAATTGATGGTTAACAATCGTGTTTTTGAATATGAAATTATTATTCTGTTTTAGATATAAATCATGTATTCTGTTATACATTCTGTCGCTGTTCGATTCTAGTCGCATTGACGTAGATAATTAATTAAATGAAAATAATTGAATATAAATACAAAGGAAACTCGTGGCAGGAGCCATGAGATGGTATTCGCACACGTCTGTGATTTTATATAAATAAAAATGATTGAATTTATTTTAGATTTTTTTTAAAATTGCTTGGACATCGTAGATCTCTTACAGTCCGGAAATGTTTTACGATAGTCTTGGACGACTTGTAAAAGACTTTGCTTTTGTTCTTCATTTTTTGTAATGACTTTATTGTAGTCATCCATTAATTTTACTCCTCTCTCAGCCAAGTCGTTTACCACTCTGACGCTCTTGAAGAATTCTAACGCATCTAAGTAGGTTTGATTACTGTTCCAAGTCGACGGATCCTCGTTAAGGAACTCAGAAGATACACCAAATCGTACAAAGAGCTTATTTGAATCCATGGAAATGACTCTATGCCCTTAGAAATGAACCCAAAAATTAGTTTTTACATATTGGCACGAATATTGAACTTTGACCCTCTTGGGCCACGGGTAAACGTTGTCCGATTGGGCTTAAACTTTGCACACATTTTTTTTTTGGCAAATGGGAGATATGCAAGGGGTGAGAGGTTTGAAATTCCGACTTACCCAAAATAAGGACCACCCTAAATAGTAAGCACTGTAATGTTGTATTATGGGATACTAGGGTAACGGATAGAATACATATACAGTACATATATAAGTATATTTATATAGAAATACATATTAAACAACCATGACTAGAGTACAAATGCTCGTATTCATCACACAAACATCTGCCCCCACCGGGATTCGAACCTGGGACCTTTCGAGTCGGCGACACCATGAAACCCGGCGTACAAACCACTAGGCCACGGAGGTCGTCTAACTCATTAAACTAAACAAATTTCAACGGTATAGATACACTGATTTATTTATTTATTGACATTTTGCATCCCTTTCAGGATGCGTCGTCTGAATTATGAATTTATTGACTTTGTTGAACTAACTTCCAAAGACTTGGAAGAATAAATAAATAAATTAGTTCATATATACAGTTGAAACTTGATTTATTTATATCAGCAAAATATTGGCAATTATAAATCATATTTTTATTTGTTAAAGAATTTAACTGCTAGAAGTTTAAATCTAAAAATTCTGGGCGATTGTGGGTTACCTATAATGCAAAGTGATGGCGCTGCCTTGCAGCCAAAGAAATACTAGGGAAAATTAGACATGGATAATTGGGGCCGCGGTAGCATAATGGCCAGAGCATCCGTCCGGATAGCGGAAGGTGCGGGTTCGAGTCCCATCTGCTGCCTGGTCCGCGTGTTTTTTTTTCTAGTAAAATTTTCTTTAGATTTAATGATAGATAGATCTATTTAATTTCCTCAGATCATATGACGAAAATATTTAAAGGGCCGCGACCCGACGTACGTTTACTTCGCCCCGAATCAGATTTAAATAATTGCTGTCTAATCTTATCAATTTGTATGTCGCTGTCTCTGCCACTTCCTTACAATCCATCCAAAAATCCAGACATAAGAGATCCCTATCAACGATAACACCGCCCATTGTTACACTAAACTTTTTCTACTTAATGAATAAAGTTTTCTGTGGTGTAAATGATTTGTATTGTATTGTAACCAATTTATCTTTACAGAAAAGTCAGAAGCATATTTAGTCCTCCCCGAAAATGTTTGCATAACAGAAACACCACGAATAAAGATAATCGCAAAGAAGTTCTCTAAATGCAAAAGGAACAACATGGAATTGAGGAGGCTCGACGAAAAAGTGGCTTGTGTTGAATACGATGTATTTATTGGCAAAGAGGAGAAGCCTAGAGAAACATTGAGAGCGTTCTTCTCAATAAAACCTGCCAAAGGGAAGGACAGTGAAAAAGGTTTGTTGCCTTGCGTACACTAAAGTCGTATGGCCACTAGAATACCGAACACACAGAAGATCAAGTGACCGAAATCCATGCCACTTGATCACACGTGAGTGTGTGATCAGTTAGGCTTAAGCATATTTTATTCGATATAGGCTGTTACGAGCACTCAAACGGCATTTACACCTAGGGTTGCCAACCCTACTATATAATATAGTGTAGCGAGACCGGCTATATCCGCAACATTAGGGGTTGGAAATTAAAAATGAATTCCCAAGACGTATAAAAGAGCAATCACACAGACAGAAAATAAGGAATATATTAGCCGCCTTACTTTATTCCCTAGAACGAATGTCCCTCAGTTCCAAGACACACTAGAAAACACGGCATGGTATTATTGTGGTATTTGACAGGAGATCGCACACGTAATAATTCACAAAATTATAGCTTTTCTAATCACATATCAAATATACGAAAATTCGTAAGACACCAACCACCGCATTCAACAATTGCAGTGCAGATTCGAGCGCATCGCTAGTGCGGTGCGCACACGCAGATCACATACGCTGGGCGATATCGATTTTATTCGAATTATTCCCTAATATACCCACCCAGGTAGACGGCTTGTATGTTTGTGTACATACTAAACCATTATTTTCTTCCAAGAATAATTGCCAAATTAAACATCTTGGGAATGAAAATGTCGAGATGCTCGATGCAAAGTAAATAGGGATACGATCACGATACATATAGTATCCTGCTATACTGAATTTTGCTTAAAGCAGAATTTTGCCCGTAAAAGCTTTCTTAATAATAAAAAATATTTATTATGACATTGAGCAGGGAAAATACATTCATTGAAAAAGTAAAGTTAATATTTTTTTTATCTAGTTTTATAGGTAACAGCTTCGAAAATACTATATTTGATAGAAAAAATGTTAGTAACCCTATTTACATCTAGCCCCCTAGCTCGGATGATAGCAATTATTAAAAACCGCCCCGATCGCCTTAGATCAAGTCCCTTACTACCTAACTCATATTACACCACCCTTAGGGTAAGGGTCCCTTAAAATTGGGTAGTGTAAATCTCGCTTTATGAAAATCGAAATAGACAGCTACGTCATAACTTCGTAATCCTACGGCGAGCGACATTTTAGTGAGAAGAAACACTAAGAATCTCCGCTTTTCACCCGGATTCATTGCAAAAAGAGACTAAATTTAATGCCATCGTCATCATCACCTTATTAACGTCCCCACTGCTGGGGCACAGGCCTTCACTATGGATAGAATAAGGAGATTAGGCCGTGAGCTACCACGCGAGCCCAGTGCAAATAGGGTATTTGACAGTATTAAAAATAAAGCGCCAATTGTTAGCATTTGTGTTTAGAATGAATATTGGCAGGGGTTTTTACTATTTTTACGAAAAAAATATTCATAATTTTATTAAAAACCCACGAAAAAGATAATAGTTTTCTTATCTATTGTCACGTGACCCAAAATGCTTGGGATTGGCGGAGCCTAAAATGACGTCACACGCAAGTAAACTTGCGGTTAAAGTGACATTACCTTGTATCGTTTGACGTTTTAATGACAGTCGTGTGACGTCACACACTAGTAAGACGCCATATTGTCCAGAGAAACGTTTTCGCAGCAACTTGAAAATGTAGTTTTTGATTTGGTTATTTTTTAATGAAATACACAACATAATGATGAATATCCACTTTTTATAGACTCTATAAACATTAGTCAATAACGTGAGATCGTTTTCTAAAACTTGTCAAATACCCTATTGGTGTAGACCAACGGCTTAAAGTGCCTTTCTAAGCACGGAGGAGCTCGAGACAGTAAATTTTTAGGTCACCCATCCAATGACCGGCCACTGCGAAAGTTTATAAACTTCAACGATCGCAGCCGAACGCACTAACCACTTGCGCCATCGAAATACTCCTAAGTTAAATGTAATGGTCTCAACTTTATTGCACACTAGCTGTGCCCCGCGGTGTTTGCCGCGGCTTATAAGGTATATATTCCCGCAGTAAAACGCAGCCTTTGTGTTAATTCAGAGTGTCAGCTAACTCCATACCAAATTTTATTAAAATCGCTCTAGCCGTTTAGACGTGAAGAAGTAACAAACATACACACTCACAAACTTTCGCCTTTATAATATTAGTGTGATTTCAGGGGATAAATTCAACATGGCCAGTGATGAGTTGAAACAATTCACCGAGAAAGAGATCGAAATCATTGATGGCAAGATACAGGAGAACAAATCTTACTTGGAGGACCTGAAAAGAATCTTGAAGAGAAAACAGGCTATATTCGCCAAGAGGAATAAAAACACTCTGGATCTTATGTCTTTATACGAAATGGCTAAAAGGGAAAGTCCACCTTTAGAAGACGGTTTCTCGAATACAAACTTTTTGTCTAAAGCCGAACTGCAAGAAATGAAGAACTTGATTCTAAAGAAATGCGCTTCCAGTGCGCATGGGATAAGCAGGAGAACTTTGAAGAAAGAACCGGAAGGAAACGGTGGTAATATAGGGCTCATATCTCAGAGCATCTTAGCCGAATTGTGGAGGGAAGGAGACATTATTGGCAAATAAACTGTGTGGAGGTTTTTGGTAGCTGTGTTTTTTTTTGTTTAGGTGAATATCGTATCGAAGGGCATACGCATGCGCAGTGTACATTAGTGGGATGCTTACTCCCCCCACGACAACGGCTAACTAGAGCCCAGGTCCGAGTCTCAGAGACGCCCTCTAGTTGAGCCGACCCCCTCAGGTTCGAGTGGTCTGGAGGCTCCAGACGGAGAGGAGACTACCCCCGTGGGGAGACGCCATCCGACTGGAATACCTCCAGAGGCACTCGTTAATTCTCAGCTTGAGGTCCCCTTAGGATCTCGCCGTCCCCAAACCCGGTGACGCTGTAAAGGTCATCTGCGACCAACAGAAGGGATGCTTACAAAGTTACAAGTGTAGAAACAGCCGGAGCCAACTGATTAACAAGCCCTCTGAAATTTATAGGAACTCAACATTTTTTTTTTTAAATATAGTGCAAAAGTTAGTTGAAATCCACTGCAAGATTGCACGCCAAACGTTATTAATCAGCGATCCGGAGGCCACGGCCGCGGATGGCCGAGTGGTATGTAAGCCGGGTTTCATGGTGTCGCCTACTCGAGAGTTCGTGGGTTCGAATTCCGGTCGGGGCAGATGTTTTTGTGATGAATACGAGCATTTGTACTTCAGTCATGGATGTTTAATATGTATTTCTTCATAAATATACTTATATATGCATCATTCTATGTTACCCTAGTATTCCATTACACAAGTCTACAGTGTTTACTTTTGGGCTAGGCTAATTGGTGTGTGTTGGAAACATTGTTTTTTTTAAACATCGGGCAAATTTAAAAGTTAATAACAATAACACTACGTTACAAAAAAAACTTTTACCCCAAGACACTTAATACTGAATTTGGTTTCTACCTACCCTCTCATTACAAAAATATGTGTCTTATATTTTTATCACGTCAAGTTTTTTAATACACTCTCATAAGTTATTTCGCTAACTTGTTACTGTAGTTCCATGGTGTTACCATGGCGCTGAGTTAATATTCGCTTTTGTTGTATTAAACATTTAAGAAAGATATAGCAAATAAAAAAGATATCAAAAGATAAAAAAAAATATAGAATCCAGTGTCGAAAAAGATACTTGGTATTCATTTAAAGCAGAAATAAAACATATCTCAATTGTCATTTTACCTCCACTATAAATCTGGATCGTTCTCTTACAACAAGCACTGTTGCCTCTATAGATGGTTTAACGCGTCCTAACATTGCCCCTTTCCATTTTTCACCAGCCACATCGTCAGAGATTAAGAAGATAATACTTTCGATCAAATCTAACGCGATAGGATGTGACGATATTAGTCGTCGCATGATCATCACTATTCTGGACCCTCTTCTTCCTGCTATAACCCATATTATAAATTCCTCTCTTGACACTGGCACTTTTCCTATTTTATGGCGTAAAGCCTTTGTACGCCCCCTTCCCAAAGTTCCCAATCCAACACAGCCTAATGATTTTCGGCCGATTGCCATCCTCCCTTTTATGTCAAAGGTGCTGGAGGCTTGTGTCCATAAGCAATTCTCTCAATTCGTTCACAAAAACTCATTAATGAACCCTCTCCAATCCGGATTTAGGCCCGGACATAGCACAGTTTCAGCGCTTTTAAAGGTGACTGGTGATATTAGGGCGGGAATGGAGAATGGTAAAGTCACGTGCTTAGTTCTGATCGATTTCTCCAATGCCTTTAATACTGTCAGTTACGATATTCTCCTTTCCATACTATCCCATCTTATGGTCTCTGACGAAGCATTGACTTGGTTCTCATCCTATCTTCGGGACCGCCAGCAGTTAGTCCAGTCTGGGGATTCTTCCTCATCCTGGCGCAGTCTGGAAACTGGTGTTCCCCAAGGCGGTATTCTTTCTCCTCTTCTTTTCTCAACTTTTATTGACTTTATCACTCACAAACTTCAATGTTCGTATCATCTTTATGCTGACGACTTACAACTATATACAGAGGCAAGCATTGACAACTTAAACGACGCCATTGATGCTTTAAATAGTGACTTAGTCGCTATCAAAACATGGTCGGATAGTTTCGGTGTCACTGTCAATGCTTCAAAATGCCAAGCCATTTTATTAGGTGGGTCAAGAATGATGAGCAGAATTAACAGCAGCGGTCTTAGTTCCATTATTTATGACGGCACTGCAGTTCCTTTCAGCAATGTCGTAAAAGATTTAGGATTATATGTGGACTCGAGTTTTAAATGGCAAGATCAAGTAAGTAGTGTCTGTCAAAAAGTAACGGGAACTCTGCGTGCTCTTTATCGCCTGAAAAATTTTCTGCCGGTCAATATTAAGGCAAGGCTTGTGCAAACCTTAATATTTCCCATAATTGACTATGGTGATGTGTGCTACCTCGACCTGAATGCAGATCTACTCAATAAACTTGATCGACTTCAGAATTACTGCATTCGATTCGTTTTTAACCTCAGAAAATATGATCATGTGTCCGCGTATCGTTCTGACTTAAAATGGATGCCTATTAGGCAGCGCAGATGTATGCGGGCTCTGACCACTTTGTTCTCTTTGTTAGATTCTCCAAATGCCCCCCCTTATCTCACTTCTCAATTTCAGTACTTATGTACCTCTCATCCTAAAAACCTTCGATCTTCTTCTAATCGTTTACTTGTCGTTCCCTCTCACCGCTCTGATATCACTCACTCTTCCTTCTTCATCAAAACAATTCATTTGTGGAATGAACTCCCGTTGGCCATTAGAATGTCCACCAGCAAATATAGCTTTAAAACCAAGCTGCGAAGCTTTTTACTGGAACAGACAATTTCGTTTAGTAGTTAGTCGTCATAATTATGTATTAATTTTATGTAGTGTTATTTTATTATATGTTTACGTATGTGTATGTTTATATATGTATATATATATATATATATATATATATATATATATATATATATATATATATGTATGTAATTGTATATAATTACTGTGTAATTTAATTATTATATATTAATATAATATTTATGTTGAAATGTGATTTACTGCTTTAAATGTGATTTCCACCTCACATGTGCACCCTACCACTAATCTTCTCCACAACACTAGTCCAGTCAAATTACGGAAAAAAAAGGGCTAAAAAACATGAGCGAGCACAGTTTGGGGATTTTGAGGATCGATAGGGGGGTGCATCTTGAGCTTAAGTTCCAATTTGAGGGGCTGTACTGAGGTCAGCTCAAGGTCATTTCGATGCAAACGCGTTTAATTCGATATCTCGAGAAATATCAGTGTTAGCCAAAAATTATAGAGACCTTTTTTCTTCTAAATAAAATTTATTAACTTTTTTATTTAAAACTTTTTTTTGTAACATCAATATTTTTTAAGTTATTACTCCCGCAAGGCAAAAATTTCATTTTTTCCCCTATTTTTCGTCGTTTTCTCCCCAAACATTCAATTTTATTGAATTTTACCGATCATCAACGTGTATATCTTTTAATTATGCACAATTTTGTTCTTAAACTTTTTTCTGTAACTTCAATACCTTCGGAGTTATATATTATTTTACCAAGCGAAATCCACGCCACTGTCGCAACGTGTATCCACAGATACATTGTTGCGTGTATTAGTGCGGGTAAGGAACATCTGTCCTCGATTTTTATACCTGGGGTAACCCTCGTCCTACGAAATCTATTTTTTTTTTTTTTGTGTGAAACAGTTTTAATTGTTAATTTACTTGTTACCCAAACAAACCCATAAATTTACCCAAATTAAATACCCAATTTTTAAATAGTTTAATCGATTTACCCTTTTATATTGCGACAGTGGCGTGGATTTCGCTCGGTAAAATAATATATAACTCCGAAGGTATTGAAGTTTCAGAAAAAAGTTTAAGTACAAAATTGTGCATAATTAAAAGATATACACGTTGATGATCGGTAAAATTCAATAAAATTGAACGTTTGGGGAGAAACGACGAAAAATAGGGAAAAAAATGAAATTTTTGCCTTGCGGGAGTAATAACTTAAAAAATATTGATGTTACAAAAAAAAATTTTAAATAAAAAAGTTAATAAATTTTATTTAGAAGAAAAAAGGTCTCTATAATTTTTTGGATAACACTGATATTTCTCGAGATATCGAAATAAACGCGTTTGCATCGAAATGACCTTGAGCTGACCTCAGTACAGCCCCTCAAATTGGAACTTAAGCTCAGGATGCACCCCCCTAACGATCCTCAAAATCCCCAAACTGTGTTCGCTCATGTTTATTTGATTCCGTAATTTGACTGGACTACACCCTATGGTTGACTGGTAGAGAATGCCTACGGCAATAAGTCCGCCATTGTACAATTGTGCATTAAGAATTAAATAAATAAATAAATAAATATCTTGGACAACCATAAATCAGAAGATTATGAAGAAATTGTTTCCAATTTGTTGAAGAATTACCATGATGGGGATGAATATGTCATTAAAAAATCATTTTTTACATTCGTACCTGGATTTTTTTCCTGAGAACCCCAGGTTCAAGCGTAAGCGATGAACATGGTGAACGTTTTCATCAAGATTTGAAGATTTATGAAGAGACGTACTAAGGTAATTTTTGGGATAAAAATATGTTAGGTAATTACTGCTGGTCTATGTTAAGATAAACTGATGCTAATCAGTATAAAAGAAGAAGTTATTTGTGTCATTTTTGATTTTTTTGTATTGAAAAAACTTGACGTCCTATTCTGTTTCCACTTCAGTATCTAACATAGGGTTTATTACTCTACTGATTCACATTAATTTCATAAATGGGTAAAAAAACCTTGTAAAGTAGTATAATTTTTTGGTTATTCACTAAATTGAAATAAAAACAATGTATATCTGAACAACTTCTAAAAAATATATTATTAATAAATGATTAACATATTTACATTGATTTTTAACTTACAACTACTAGTGTTTTGGTGTTTTCGCTGGGTCGAGACCGAGCTTTTTCATTTCTACCGCCATTTCGAACAAGTAGTCATAGCACTCTGTCCTGTAACAGAGCAAACATATATATATATATTTCCAGACAACTTAAAACAATCAGATCAAAATACAATTTGCTCCTTTAATTTCGAAGATACTCCTTACTTTGCGATGTTTTTTTTATTGATGGTTGAAAACCAATGGGAAAGAAGAAAATTCAATAATATTACCTTAATCTCGTTACCGAAAATATACATTAGAGTCAGAACTGGTTTTTATAAAAATCAAACATTCAATACTAGTGGGTACCCCATGACTTCTTTTGCGTGGAAAATTGATTTCTCATACAAACTTTCATCTCGCTTTTATTCCCTTAAAAGAGATATATAAAACCTTATGTTTTTAACTTTACCAAATTTAATAATAAAGAGGTAACAGACAAGCAGCCAGACAGACACACTTTCGCATTTATAACATTAGTATGGATGTTGATTAATGAAGTGATTTGAGATGATCTCATACTGTGAGTATTGTGGTGTCGGGAACAAGGAGCGAATAGTGAGAATATGGCTAGTGGTAGGGGTATCTAGCGCAGTTAAAGACGACATCAGAGGGTAGACCGATATGTCGGCCAATGACATCTACCCGCAATTACTTCAGTTACTCCGTGATCATGGCGCATGCAACAGGCGAAATATCAGAGACTTATAAAACACAAGGTACATGGTAACAATCCTATTAATAGTTACAATTGGGAATATACAAATATGTGCTACAAAAATATTGTTTCGTTTACTTATATAACGTTTGGAATCAGGAGAACTTTGTAATCTTTTCGAAATCGCCTTGAAGCTTAATTGTGATTAAGCGTTGCCGAACGCTTTTCTATAACCTATTCGACGCATTCCAGACTTGGATTAAAATAAAAGGGAAGATACGGTACGCTCATACTAGCATCAAATATAACATTCTCCGACTCAACTACATAAGCAACTCTCATATATGCCCACTTAAGTAAATAAACATTAAATCGAGCGAGCGAGACAGAACTGTATGCTTTAACGCAGCTCGAGTGAAACGGCGAGTCTGCGTCGCTTGGCTTGGCGGCTGCCTTTTTTTTCTCTCTCTCTACAAACGGCTGAGCTGTATTGTTGTCCTTTTTTTTGATAACAAATGGCGAAAAAGTAAATAACATTCATGACATACCGTGATTTTTGTAAAAGAAAAATGTTTTCTTAGTTTTACGAATGAAAAATGTTGCCTTGAAATATTTTATTTGATCTTGAACTATTTTTGTTCTTTATAAAAGCACCGAAGGCATTGTTTCATCTTAAGCGAATTGTGGTCATGCACCTTAGATTAAAACAAAAAGGGTAGATACGGTACGCTCATACTTGCATCAAACTGATCCCACTGCAGCACGAACGGGACGGCGAGATCCGCGTCACTGCATTACCGACCCGAACGAAACATCACGTTAAGTTTCAACGGCAGTGCGAACGAGACGGCGAGATCCGCGTCACTGCACTACCGACCAATCACGCGACCAGTACTCGACGTCACTACCGAATAAGATTCAAAACAAACAGCAATTTTTATGAAAAAATATATTTTATAGTAATTACAAATGAAAAGTGATGCCGTGGGTTTTATTTTTAGTTCTTGAGCACTTTTTAAAAACATACTTAGGCATTGTTTTATCATATAAACACAAAATATTATCAATATTTTTTTTGGCCTTCACATGTACGTCGTTTGCATGTCAAGTTGTGACTAAAGAGATTAGGGTCGTGGACCACAATTTGTGCGGATCACTTTAGTGAGGCTAGTGCCGTATCTACCCTTTTTACCCGGCTGCGCAATGCAAGAGCGCGAAGCGCGACGCGCAGACAGGGTTATGTGTTTAACAGTCTATATATGTATGTTTGTTCCTTTGTGGCACACTAGAGACCAAACGCCTGGACCGATTTTGATGATTCATACATCAATCGATTCGTCTCAATCATGGGAGTGCTACTAAAGATATGATAGTAATCAAAATTCAATATGGGCAAAATTAGGCGCCATACTGTGACGAAGTAAAAAAAATAAGTTGACAAAATATGTCGAGTGAGGTATCACTGTCTAGATAATCAAAAATCATATTTAGGTTCCTAACACCATTTTTCATTTTATATGATTGTTTAGGATCTACAACGCTTTAAAGTTGTATAATAACCACTTACGCTTTTAATTTCAATCTTACGTTTGTGTGGATCTTTGTTACTCTTTCACCTAAAAAATACTGAATTGATTTTAATGAAACTTAACAGTAATATAGCTCATATATGATAATTACATATATATAATAATTTATGTAATTATTGAGTGAATTGGCCAATATATAGCAATAAGTGTCACATAAGACGGAAAAAAATGTCCCATCTGCGAGCCATTTTGGCCTGCACTGCAAAAACAATAAAAGTTACATGAATGTAATGTAGAGTCAAAATGTATCTCTTAAATAGTTCTAAAAAAAGTCAGTGACACCATATATCTATTTTTAATGTGTAAGTCATTACCGCTAAAATAGTGAATCAAAACTAAAATATTATTTGATATCTATTTCTAAAATGCACATTTTGTATTAACAAATCATTTTTTATCAAAACAAATACTTTAATCGCTTTTGATATTTAAAGACGATAAACTTTGCTTTTTACACTATTTAAAAAGTTACAACGATGACAAAGTGATAGCGCGGTGTACTATGTAAAAGAAAAAAAAATGGGGTATTCGCAGTATCTGATCCTATACGAAGTACTAACATTAAAACTGTGATACAGTTCCTTCTTATTAAATGATGAAAAATATATTATCATAATAGGTATTTATGATTATTGAATTTTAATGAAAAGCTCAGAATTTTACTGTTTTTCATTTTTTTTAACGATATTACTTAATGTTACAAAAAGTAACAGGTTTACTTAATATAATGACAAATAACCCATTTTTCGCTAGTAAGTACATACTTATTGGAATCCCTGTATTTATTAATCAGCTCGCGATAATATTGGTTTTGTAATAATTTTGCAAAATTCAAAGTAAATAATGTAGATTTTTATAGGTAAATCACCCCTTTTATCACCCTACGCCTATAAGTATTGCGATGTTGTAGCTAAGAACCAAGTTTCCATCTACTTCTATATGGGAATTCATTATATTCGATTTAGCTAATAGGGCACGGAAGCGCAACAAACAAACTCACTTTCGCATCTATAATATTATATTATACTTACTAGTGATCCACCCGGGCATTGTACGGGCGAAATTTATTTATCGGGATAAAATATAGCCTATGTCACTCGGACAAAATGTATTAAATCTAAATAAAGAAAGATGTTATAATAAATAATGTAGCTACCTTATGATGAATTAATATTTGAAACCGGTTCAGTAGTTTGACAGATTATTTGTTACAAACATACAAATCTAGCCTCTTTATAATATTAGTAAGATTTAAAAATAAAGTAAGTAATAGGTTTATTTTATTATATTTGTAAAACTTACTTAGCATTTGTGCTTAACAGTGATACGTTATTCGGTATTTTTATAACAAAAAAAAAATTTGGAAAATAATTGCCATGATTGCACTACTGGGAGTACTCTTCATTCGAGCTTTACACTACCAATAAAAAAGGGTCGAACACAAAGTCTTTGGCCTGTTAAATGTGAACGCTTTAAAAGAAAACTACAAAGAGAACTATAAATTGATAATAAATGAGATTGCTATGGTGCTCTACCTAACTTTATGAAAATTTTATTATGCGCCTTTAGTTTAATCAAATATTATAAACTTTGCTTTGGTGATTGCATAATTATTTAATTTAGTGATCTAAGGCATTTGCCAATATTGTCCAAAACAACAGACGGCAATTACTTCTTTCTTCAACCTGCGACATAAACGTCATTGATTGGTATTGTATATAGGATGATTAAAAACATTTGAACTTAACTTCTGGCATCTACATAGGGTTTCTGTGAATTATGTAGGTATATCAAATTATGTGACTAGGGACTGACACTGAATTTGCGTATATCACAATCTTAGATGTCCGGCATTGACATGACAATGCAGCCACTGCCAATTTTAAATAGTCGACGAATAAAAGTAAATGAATTTTATATTTACTGCTAAACTATTAAAAAAAAAACATAAACAAAAGATGACTTTTTGAGTAAGTGCTAGTTTACTATAAAATTTACATACATTAGAGATATTTATGTAACGACTTGATTTAACTTCACACATTTTTGCGAAAATTGGGGCCCATCTGTAGCCTTGACCCCGCTGGTAAAGTCTTTATATGTCTTAATAAATCAATCTTTTAGACCGACGCAAGGTACTCAATAATTCCCGCGATATTAATTCCCTTACTGAAGTAACAAGACTACGGTATATACCGTCTTAAAATACTAACTAAAAAATGTGAAATAAAAAAGGTAAATTTAAAAAATCAAAAAACCCGACTGCTTAATTATACTTCAAATAAAAACTGAAAAGAAAAAAACAAGTCCAGTAGTCTATAATTCTGTTAATAAGGAACAAAGCTACTTTAACAGTCGGGACCCACTGTTGAAAAATATTATGTATTCTTGAATATCTAATGGGTCCCGACTGTTAAAGTAGCTTTGTTACTTATTAACAGAATTATAGACTACTGGACTTGTTTTTTTCTTTTCAGTTTTTATTTGAAGAATAAGTAAGCAGTCGGGTTTTTTGATTTTTTAAATTTACCTTTTTTTTGTTTAAATCTAAGTCATGCACCACAATTTAAGCGGATAACTTTTGAGTCGTCAGTGCCGTATCTTTCATTTTTGTTTTAATCTAAGCTTCTAGATAAATCCAGTTTCATTGAGAATTCCCTAGCTACGCTAACTGGTAGTAAGCACGAGTTGTAAACAAGTTTACTGTTGTCACTGCACTTTCAACTTTATGCCGCACTGTTAAGAATCATATTAGAGTGGACTGCAACATTCGGCCTTCGCTTTTAGGCACTTTGGGTTGCGATAGCGATGGCTGCGACGTTCTGGATAATGTACTGGTTTCCAGATTGTTCATGACTATACTCACATAGTCTGAGCCTGTTGCCAAATATCTCCCCACAAATAGACCCCGTGTTGTCGCACTAGCACAGCGTTGGTACCCGGATACTTACTCAGAGCCCTAACTAACATATTACTAAAATGGAGGAAAGATATAACTTGATAAGAGATAGAACGGCGGCGTACTCAATAGTATGGATAGCCTACATCGCGCTAGTGGCAGTCAACATAATTAAATACAGAGCATCGATCGATAATACTAAGTACTCACATAGTCTTCGCCTGTTGCCAAGTGTCTCCCCACACATAGACCCCGTGTCGTCGCACTAGGATGGCGCTGGTACCCGGATATTTGCTTAGAGCTTCCCCCATACTTTCAGCTAGGTCCTTCTCAAACGGCGTGTTTTCTATGATTGGTACTACTAACTTTTCGTCGTAGCGGAGGAACCGACCTAGCTGAGCGTCTTTGATGCCCTGGGGGGAAGTTACAATACAATACAATACACAATTCTTTATTGAAACAGTACAGTACATAAATGGAGTAAATACATTGTTTAAACAGTGATTCAATGGGCCGTCTTATCGCTAAAAGCGATTTCTTCCAGACAACCTTTGGATGGAGAGGATTGAATGAAACTGGAGTCGGTGGTGTTATAAAAGAAACAAAGGATAAAAAAATGTATATAACTATATATATAACATACCATACATACATAATATATACACATAATATTACTATAAGATATATACATATAATATAAATATATGACATATACATACATAGACTACACATATATAAGTTTAATCCAGTGAGAAAAAAAAAGGAAGTTTTACACGATTAATAGATTTCTGCCTGGGATCTTGATTAAATCATATGGTTGTACGAGTATCACCGACTACACAGTCCCTAGACACCTAATGATACACATATATTCTTGACAACACGTGTTGTGTTTGTGTCAATCAAGGTGCAGTCACTCTGCTTCATCTTACCTCGGGCAGTTGCCAGAAAGCATTTAGTCCTAAAAAAACACGTTCGGCTTCTACTAGGGGCTGTGTAGTCGGTGGGTTGAATATTCTATTAAGTTCACAGTTGCTTTGCTCATAAGTGTAGATGCTTTTAAGAAATATTACATTGTTTACAAAGTAAATACCAATGTTATGAAAATCACTATCTGATTGTTAGCGTCGCCGCTAGCTTCGCAAGGCATCTTAAGTCGATGATCGTGGCTGCATCTGCACTAATCAGCATTCAATAGTACCTATCAATTCGTACTGAGCCCTGCGCTCGTGTCATGTAACATTCTCCCATTCGATCCGTAAGGGAGGTCTGTGCTCCAGCAGTGGGGACATTAATATGTTGACAACATATTGCTAACAGTATGTTTATTTATTTATTTTAAGGACAATCAGTAACAGTTACAATACAATAAGCTAACGAGAAGAATTATATTAATGTGGAATTAAGAGCACTGTTTTTAGTTGCCACAGCATGCTTATAATTAGGTATGGAAAAAAAATGGAGACAGCTTACCAAACAATAATTCATCAACACAAACACAAAATTCAAATCAGATGAAAAATAAAAACTAAATATACTGAGACATGATTAAAAGAGCAAATTAAGCTGTGTTATTATTATGTTATTAGATTCAAGAATCATCACACCAGTAAAATAAGTCAATCGCGTCTGAAACCTGAACTAAGTGGATCTTTTCTAGTGAAATTTTCTTTAGCCTTCAATTAAATAAGTTACATTATGTGCTGTTCGGTAATTTTAATCATATTGTGTACACGTTCAAAGTAGTACTGTCTAGATTACATCAACTATAATTTTATGTTAAACATGTCGAGCCCTTACCGCCAAATTATCGTAAGCGACACTCGCCAAATTATCGTAAGCGACACTTTTGTCGAAATGCGTTTTTTGTGGAAACTAATATTTTTAACCATAACGGACCAATCTCTGTTGATATTTCCCTCTATTCTTCCCTCTATTATATTGTAACGGTGTTCTTTTGGAGGGAAATATTAACAGAGATGGGTCCGTTACGGTTTAAAATATTAGTTTCCACAAAAAACGCATTTCGACAAAAGTGTCGCTTACGATAATTTGGCGAGTGTCGCTTACGATAATTTGGCGATAAGGGCTCGATGTATTGGCTGAATTCTGTTAGTGTACCTAGGGGCAGTTCAAGTATTACGTAAGCAGATTAATTACAATTATTTACCCCCTCCTCCCCCTTGTCAGCAAAAGTAAGCAAAGCTCTTACCTCCCCCTCCCGTGCTTACGTACACAAACTTGATTGACATAGTATTCAGCATAGGTTAAGGTACAACTATTATAACCTTATTAAGTACTATTACGAACAAAACAAACTTCTTTCAAAGTTTTGGTATATGTATACCAATTAAAGACTGTTAATTGTCCATGACACCCGAATCCATGATGCTGACGTAATCACTATCTCGACCCCCCACCCCCCCATGTCATCAAAAATAACCAAAGCAAAGACCCCCCTGCCCCCCTAGAGTGCTTACGTAATACTTGAACGCCCCCCTATAATAAAATAATAAATTGAGATTTAAACATCTAGCAGTAAATTGCTTAAAACAAAAATAGAATAATGTAAAATTAGTGAAATTAATAACAGTAGGCCAAAACAGGAGCCCAAGCGGAGATTTTCGGATTTACTCGAGCGCGGCAGAATAACATAAAGGGGCAACCTTGCACATTGTGAACTTCTCCCACCATACCTGAAATGTTTACCGAACTTCTAGGACAAAAAATCAAATCCAGTATTTTGAATAGGAGCCACTGGACTGGAGGGTTCAAGTACCCCCCCCCCCCCCCCCACACCATGCAAACCGGCAGATTAAAAATATTTCTCCGTCATCAGAAATGTTACGTGAACCCTCCAATAGTTCCTATTCAAAAGACTGACGATTTGGACGCGACCAAAACTCATGGCTATATGTCGAAAATTTTTATGCTACCCTTTTTTTTATATATTAAGGTAGGCAAATGACTCTACCCCACCTGATGTTAAGTGGTAATAAAGTCCAAACGCGAAGATAGCTGGTACAGCCGTTATAAACTGCTACACCAATCATCCTCACCTTGCCGGCCTACAAAAATGCTTCTTCACCTCATGCCTCTCATAAAGGACCCCAGATTATAGGAAGGAGGGAACACTTGCGCGGGTAAAGAATTCCACTTACGAACAGTACGACAAAGAAATGAGTCACCAAATTTCTTTGTTCGTGATTCACCCTAATGAGAATCTACCTACTTATCAAAGTATGTAGTTATTGGGTTAGTGTTAGTTTAAATGGGGTTTCAATTACTAACCTTGATCATTTCCTGGTGTGTTATTGTGAACTCATCGTCATACAGTAGCGTGCAGCGTACAGCGTGCGGCGAGTGCGTGTGAATGACGGCACCCGCGCCGCGTTCTCGGTACGCAAGCATGAACAGAGGCGTGCATTGGCTCTTCTTCAACCTATTTTGATACTTATGTTGTAGGCTATTGAGTCGCAGATTGCATGTGGCACTTAAGTAGTTAAAAATATATTTATAAAAAAATTCAACCTACACTACTGGACACATCTATCGGCCCACCTAGAATTTTAAGTGTTGATAGTCCCCAGTTAAACATAAATGTTAAATTGAGCCAAACATACCCACACAGTTTTGAAGCTGATTTATTAACCACCTTTTCTTGATTTTTTTTAGTTATTACTCAACCATAAGAAAATATTTATGATGCAGACTGTTGAAACTTATAACACTAAGTGTGTCGTTATATGTGTCTGGAAGTATAATCAAACTTATAAGAGTAGGTTATTGAAACGAAATCTTCGTCTCAATAACCTACCCTATAAGGGTGAGTAGTTGTTATTTAATTAACAATGTTGTTTTAACAAAAGTAACAGATGTGTGCATTGCCTTTTCTTTAACCTATATTGATCCTTGTGCTGGGATAGCTTAGGATAGCAAGGATAGGCTTATTTACACAGAAGATTTTAAGCTGTTTTTTTGGTTTTAATTATGGGAGTTATTAGTTTGATTTTAATATTATTTGCTTGGCATAGTTTTCTACTTTTACAGGCATATATTTTTTTCATATTACATAATTATTCATATTTTATTTAGCGTATGTGTTAGAAATGTGGAACTTACTTCTTTTCAGGAGGAGGTAGTTCTAAATCTTCATCATTGATAGTCTGTACAAATAAGTCATCAGATTTCATTCGTTCTTTTTGGACACCTGAAGGTGCAATATAAATTTTGTCTCTGGAATAATATAAAAAGTAATATAAAACAACTATAAAGACTACTAACTTTCTGTGTGTCTGTAAATTATAATAATTTATCTATGTAGAAATTAGTAAAGTTCCAAAGTTTATACAATACTAAAAGTATATAAGGATTTATAGGTAGAAACAAAAGCTTATTTTACTCAATACTACTTCAACTCTCTGCAAAACTTAAAATACTTCATTATCAAATATGATATTGTAAGTACAGATCATTCCTTCTTTTTTTCTTTCTATTGACTTATCTTGCAACATAATTTACAATTCATTTGGGCTTGGTAAATTATGTAAGTATATTTATTTCTATTTTTTAATAATAATTATAAAAATACATTACGTAAACATTAAATTAACTAAAGTACAACAGATTTGAGATGTAAAAAGACAATTTATAATTTGTTTATATTAAATCTTATGATTATTAAATGGTTAGCATTTTTATTAAAAATACAGTAATCTGTTTATGATGGCCTTGGATTTTAAGTACTGTTGAAACAACAGGCATGAGGTTAAAATAAGGTAAATTTAACCTGTGAACGACAGGGTCTTGTATTTATTTACAAACATTGTTCTCATATAATTTTAAGATTATTCATTCAAAGGATAATAAAAATTAATTCCTTTGTTCTGGTATATTGGGACTACCTATTTATATGCTTTTAATTTTGTTCTTCCGTCTAAAAATTAGGTTCTTATCTTTGATTATATACACCTTAGATACCTTTTTGCTGCCCGGAAGTGGAAAAAAAAATCTAATACTTATGGTATCTACCATGTGTAGTAGATATTTATTGAGATTGTTGCTAAACATGCACATATTGACTGTTTACAATTTCATATTAAAACATGAGCCATTTTCTTTGCAGAGTTTATTTGTATTGCTCAATCTAGGTGTATATATAATTATTGATCTTTATTTTAAATCATAACAACCCACCCCTCCTTGATTGATATTCCACCTCCAGTCCCAGTGACCCATCCTAAGTGATAGAACTGTTTGCAGAGTTCTGGAATCAATTTTCTAGGGCGTTCCTGAAATATATAGATATCAAATCAATGAATTGCCTAGTAATCTACAGGAAATGTACTCGAACATTGTAATCAATTAATATAAATTTAAAAGACATTACTTACAAAATAGTCAACTTGAATGTGTATAAAGTGGTAAATGAGTGGCTCCCATACACATATAAACCTTAACAGGTTTTCGTGTAGGGTTTTTTAATTGTATGTGTATGATTGTATTTGATAATAAAATAAATAAATCCAATATTTAGATTTATCTTAACAGCTAAAAATTTAATTTCAGTAATTATCTTTGCTGTCTTAAGCATTCTTGATTATTGCCATCCTAACCTGAAATATGAATATACTTACCTATTCCATCTCTTTTATATTAAGTACTAGGTACAGTACCTACGCACTGTACTGTATACAATTATTTTAAATTTTCTATCTTCCCTTTGACCATTACTTAAAGAAATACTAATATTCACATCAAACTGCAAGAAGAGTTAGGATATACTGTAATGGTCCAAATTTTATATAAGGGCTTGCAGTGCATATTTAACAAAGAAATTGAAATAATAGAAAATTCTGATCGTATTTTTTATTCATATTTCATTGATAAGTTAGAGAAGCAAAAAGTTTATTAAAAAACATATTGTAAAACTTACTTGACCAAGTTCGCCCATTCTGATATACACAGTAGGTATTATATTATATTCACTATCAATATAAATGTTGAATTGTAATATACTTAATTGTAATTTTATCTATTTGTTTATTTACACGTTATCATCGTCCACCAATAAAAAATACACAACAGCAAGACGAAACATTGACACTGACAAATAGATTTTTTAAATATTTCCTTCTGGAAGGCAGTATAATGTATGTCCATACAGCCGGATTTTCAATGTTATTATATTAATTATGTTGGTTATTATATTTGAATTGAACTGCTAGATTAAAAAAGCTCTAGAAAAAATCTACTCGGTCTAGGTTTCAGACTGGATTCGCCGGTATATTAAACTACTCCGGTTCAAATTCTGTCTGACATTTCTCACCTCACTCACAATGATCTGACACGAGTTAAGCCGGAAATATATTTGTCTGTTGTGCTGTGTCGCGCCATGTCAGAGACCGATACGTTTCTGACACGGCGAGTTTTATACATTTAGTACGGTTAGGATAATTATATTTTTGTAGCGATATGTCGACATTGTACTCGCATTAATCGTAGGTAACTTTTGACTTCACCTTCACTTAACATCAGGAGGGGTGGAGTCATTTGTCGGACCTATCTATAAAAAAAAAAAAAGTAACCGATAGCTCTTTGACGCGTCGCGACACCATACGACACAACACTACAGATTAATATATTACCGGCTTAAGTCCTGGAAGTAGTCTCCACAGACGTAGAAGCACAGGTTATTAAAATTAAATTCACCTATGATGAAGACGGTAATGGGACGACTCCACGCTTTACGCTACAATATGAATCTTATGAAAACATACCGTAAAAAATAAAAATGAGGACCGGTAGCTATGCAGTTCGTTTTATATACCTATACTATATTCTCACATGACTTTACATTGCCCAGGATAAAATATCTCATTAGAGGCGATTAGCCTTTAATGAGATATGAATAGCCCTGAATGCCAAATTTTATCAGAAACCTTTCAACAATTTTAACGCGATAGAGTAACAAGTAGCCAAAAATTCAACTATACTCGTTTTTCTCACATTTTTATAAAAAAAAATGGGTGCGTGTACTTATGTAGGCGCGTGAGAAGTTATCCTTCTTTGGCATCGTTTAAAATTAGTTTTTAATTGCATGCAATAATTAATTACAATAAATTAATAAAAAGTCTGGAAAAGGACACAGTCAATAAAGTTCAGTTTTAATTTGAAAAAATAAATAATTAATCAAAATATTCAATTAAAATCACTACTGAATATAATTTATTAGAACATATGTGATTTGCACTTGTATGAAACTCAAACACGTATTCCGAATATACAAACTAGAAACATGTGGATAAATATTATAAATATGAATACCTATAACTGTTACTTTATAACAAAAAATAAAGATGTGGTTTTTGGTTCTACTACACCAATGGTCAAGAGATGGCGCTGTAGTCTCCTGAATCGCGCTTTGGTTCCGTTGTTCCAGATTAATAAATACTTTTGAAATTATAAATATGAATACCTATAACTGTTACTTTATTACAAAAAATAAAGATGTGGTTTTTGGTTCTACTACACCAATGGTCAAGAGATGGCGCTGTAGTCTCTTGAATCGCGCTTTAGTTCCGTTGTTCCAGATTAATAAATACTTTTGATAGGCCTTCACAATGCAGTCGTTAGCACCCACTAAATAGAGAATCTATTTCTATTTTGTTGGTAGATTTTCTTAATGTGCGGTAAACACAAAAGTAACCCAACTTCATGCTGTTAAAATTTTGTGTTACAGTGACGCGCGCGCATCTTAAAATTTCACTCTCATCATTTTTTCATAACGCGCCTAAAGAAGTATAACTTCAAAAATCGAGCGAGTCATACATTGAGAAGGGATGAGTCAACGATATTCTTAGGTATAACCATAGACTCGAAATTGCAATGGTATCCTCATATTTCTCTGCTAGCTGGTAAACTTAGTTCAGCACCCTATGCCATACGTAAAATAAGACAACTTACTGATGTAGCTACTGCTAGAACTGTATACTTTAGTTACTTTCATAGTATTGTATCCTATGGTATTATTCTCTGGGGATCAGCAGCCGATATTGAAACTATATTTATCTTGCAAAAAAGAGCTATAAGGGCTATTTATCAACTTAGTTCTAGAACATCTCTTAGAGAAAAATTTAAAGAAATCGGGATTTTGACTGTTGCTTCTCAATTCATTTATAATTGCATACTTTTTGTTCGAAGCAATATTAACTATTATCTAAAACACAGTGACATACATTCTTTTAATACAAGGAATAAAAATAAACTCAAGATACCAAATTACAGGTTACAGAAGGTTCATAAATCATTTATGGGTCAAGGTATACATTTCTATAATAAGATTCCTATTGATATCCTTGATTTGCCTCCTCATAAATTTAAAATACACATTAAGAATTGTTTACTTAAGAAAGGATATTATACTGTCAATCAATATTTGAATGATAAAACGGCCTGGTTGTAATTTTACCTGTAGATAATTTTTCAAAAGTTATATTAAAACTAAGGCTCCCAGCCTTAGAAAGAGTTTTGAAGAGAACTTACTCCCTTTCATATACTTGTTCATTTTATTTTGAAAATTGTTTCTTGCTATTTTGGGACTTATCTTTGCACTTATTGTTAGTAAATTCATTGATTGTTACATATTTGACATTATGTGATGGAAGTTGACCTCAACACATGTTTGCAAGTTTGATGTCAACTTTCAATTGGACGACACTGTATGAAATAAAACAGGGAGAAAAAAGCAGCCCTTGCTGAGTTTCTTGCCGGTTCTTCTCAGTACAAGGTCTCCCGCCGTAGTTTTGCGAACCGATGGCGTAGCTTTTCGACATTCACAAGTGCTTGTAACAGCCTAGACTGAATAAACGATATTGAATTTTGAATTTTGGATGTTACGTGAACCCTACAGTAGCTTCTATTTAAAAAACTGACGATTTGGACGCGACCGAAAGTCGTGGCTTTTTGAAGATTTTTTTTTTGCTGCCCTTCGTGTTCGGCCCTACTTAGAGGCTCAGGTTGGTTGGAGTATTTCACAAGGTGCTGGGTCGTCCCCATGAGTATTTAGTCACGATCGAGTAAATCCAAAAATCTCCGCTTGGGTTTCCCTACGACAGTAGGTATAGGATGTGAATACGTGATAAGATATTTAAATAGTTATTTATTATACAAGAGTGGAAAGTTCCTTTTTAACCGCGTGCTCGATTTGGATGACCGAGCAAGCGAAGGATTCTAAAGTTGAATCACGAGCGCAGCGAGTGATTCTAAATTAGAATCCTGAGCGTCAGCGAGGGAAACAAACGAGCACAAGGTGAAAAATCTTTCCACTCGAGTGCAATACGTAACTTTTCATCCCACCTCAGCGAGGAAATGACAAAATGAAAAAGAAAACAATTTATAATGACAAAATATTTTTATTTCAATTAAAACACATTAAGATAATCTATAAATTGAAGAAAATAATAAGAAGTAGAAAATAATTAAGAAATATTAAATGTAACGTTGCTACAGTTACTTATGTTAAGTTTAATATTTTTGTTAGGTAATGTTATGTTGGTGTTTGTGAATTGTGCGCTGTTTTGTGGTAAACTACTCGTATCAGTAATTTTAAATAGTTGTGCCGATTCATTGGATTCTATTGGCGTAAATGTTGGCGAGAGAGGGCTATTGTTTCCAATCTTATGGGGGCTCATTTTAGATGTAGAAGGGCGAGACCAAGAATCTGACAGAGGTTCTTTCAGCGTTATGGCCTCCACGATACTATTACAAATTTTTGATTTACTTTGGATTGAATCCTCTATGTATCCCTCTACAACCGAATTAGACTTCCAGCCTCCATGGCGCTTAAGCGATAGAAGATCAGCCCCTGATTCGGCCAAAAGTGTGGCTGAGGTTCTTCTAAAACAGTGACCGGTGTATAACGGGGGTTCTAAAAGTCCGAGAAAAGTTGCTATTTCTCGTGGAATACTGCCAATTTTATTCTGACCCATAGGTTGTCGGATACACTTTCCGTTGCGATATTGTAGAAAAAATCGTTCAATTGGGGTGTTAGAAGGACGTAAAGCTTGATATTTCTGAACAATGTTTACATATTCCTTGCGAATAACGAAGTTGCGGTCTTTTTTTGTCTTGGTATTTAGTACATTAATTAATAGCAATTCATCAGAATTATGAGAATATTTTGATACGTTATTGACATTAAGTAGTGTAAGTTCATTTGTTCGACATGCTCCGGTTATACCAATAATAAGAACAACCTGTAACAAAAGAAGTATTTATAATCGTAAATAAATTAATCAAATTAAAAATATTGTAAGTACTATGTACAATTTTATCAACAACAAAAAATTACACGTATTGACTTACTTTTGCCGCTAAATATACGGAATCAGGTGCTTCATTAATAAACTTTGCAATTTCAGATGCTGTGAAAACCTTCGATTTTTTTGGTTTATAACCAGATGAGGCTCTTTTTAAAAATGCCACTAATTTATGATAGGTGTCGATATGAACGTCTTTCTTCATCTTAATTGTTAATTTTAGCATTGAATACGTACTCCATAGCGTGCTTGCTTTCTTGGTCTCAGATAATTCTATAAAATATGCCAGCAAAACGTTTTCGGAGAAAGTTTTTGCTCCTTTAGCTAGTCGCCACATGTTAAATATATCGTACTGTTTCAAATACTTCTCTCGTGATTGCTGAGGGAGAAGGCTCATTTGCGCATTATTAACTGTTTCAGTTAACTCAGTTGGCGTTAGATAAACTTCATCGTCGCTAATGTCACTCATTTTAGTTGATTTTTTTGTACAGTTTTTAGGTTATGTTAATTATATTAAGCAATAAAACGTGAAAAACTAGAATGGCGCGAAGCACGCAAATAAAACAAAGAAACCAAGAAGGTTCCAAATTTAAATTTTTTCACAATTTAAAAAGTTCTAATCATAAATTTGGCACCATAGAGGTTACATTAAATAGGTTTAATGACGTTTTGAATTTACAATTATATTGAGTACTCATTATATGTGATGTTCTAAATTCAAATCTACTTTGCCGCTCAAGCGAATAAAATAGAATTTTCCAGCCAGATTTCGAAGCGCAAAATTACACTTTCCGAGGTGGTGGGATGAAAAAAATATTGTGTTACATATTTTATTTAAGTGCTTATCAGGATAGAAATTAGAAAAAGAATATATTTGCGGTGTTGTTCGATTTATTTGACATGTTACTTAGAAATAACTTTACGACATTATTATTAATTACATAATGTGTAATACAGTCATGTAACGATAAAAGCTCCTTTGTTGAATGATGCGGCCTTCGATAAACAATTCTATATATAACGGGTTGCATAAAAAATCAAAACTAAAAACTGTCCGCGTATATTTAAACTTATGCAGCTACATTCGATTCCCAATGAACAAAGATAAATGTTTAAAAACATATTAAGTTGAACCTAGTAACAAGTATCTCACAAAGGAATAAGGTTACAAATAACAAAATGTTATTTCGCACATACGACCTTTTATCTTAAAAAACTCTTGTTCCTCTTATAAACTGATATCTGATACTTGGAAAAAAACGGTGAAGGTGAAAAAAGGAAAATGTGAATTCAAACTTATGAACTAATTTAAAATAAGATCTCACGCCTCAAGTGAGGCTATATTTACCGCGACGGATTTTACGCGCTGACCCGTTATCTATAGGATTATTGCTCGAAGGATGCGGCATTTAAAATTCTGTGGCTTGTTCTATGTTTGACATTCTTGTACGCCGTTCTATCAGTTCTTCTGGTGTGTTTTTCTTTGAATAGATCTGTTGGAATAGAAATGAAATTGTCAAATTTATTTTACCCATAAACATAGATAGTGATGGAGAAATACTGCATTAAATTACCCATACTCTTAAAAGAGAGAAATCGATCGTGCGGCCTATATTTATACGAACTAAGTACTTACTGGCCGCACGGTCGCTCCATCTCTCTTACACTTTTCTGCATATACATTTACTTTACAGCTGAATAGAAAATGCTTAGTCCATTCTCTATTTTTATGATTTTACCTGATATAAATACATTTCTATTTAAGAAGTACCTACTAAGGCGCGTAGATGTTATAAATTGAAACATTTTGATACGATCTTACATAAATCGTGTGTGTGTTAAAAGTATTTATGAAATAATATCTTTTTTCATATAATTGAGTAGAGGTATGACCTGACTTAGATATCTACATAAATAAACACGACATCAAATAGAGGAATATCGAAACTATCGGTCTTACCAAAGATGTTTGAGAAAATTATCTACGATTCGCTTTTTCCAGCTATGAGGCCTGTTATTGTTACACAGCAACATGGTTTTATTAACAAGCGATCCACAGAATCGAATTTGTGTGAATTTCTTGACTATGTGCTTGCTACCATGGAGGGTCTCAGGCGGATACCGTGTATACTGATTTTCGAAGGCTTTCGATAAAATATCGCACACAATACTGATATCCAAACTCGAACATGTCGGTATACACGGTGATCTCCTGAGATGGTTAACTTCTTACCTGAGGGATAGATCTCAAGCAGTTGCAGTGAGAGGTTTCACATCATCTTTTGTACCCATTACCTCAGGCGTGCCCCAGGGATCTCATCTCGGATCATTGTTTTTTAATATATTTATAAACGATGTTGTAACGTTTACAACATCGTTCAAAGCTCAAAAATTTTGGTATATGCCGATGACATCAAAATGTTTCAGGAAATCAAATCCTTGTCAGATTGTAATTTACTACAGAATGACTTAAAACGTTTAGAACAATACTGTACAAACAATAAACTGCATTTAAATATACGTAAATATCACGTTACAACTTATAGTAGAAAAAAGAAACTATTCTTTGCAAAATAATATACTGCACAGGGTTACCGAGATGAGAGACTTGGGTGTTATTTTAGATAGTGAACTTCTTTTTGATTCACATGTTAATGATATCATTGGTCGTGCTTACAGAATGCTTGGCTTCGTCTTTCGGCAAAGATCTGATTTTAAATCACCTAGTACTTTGATACTGTTATACAATTCGTATGTAAGATCAATATAGGAATATGCATCAACAGCTTGGAATCCCCAATATTTAATTTATATAGATTCTATAGAAAATATCCAAAAGAAGTTTATTAAACGTTTGAATTATAGATATCATAAATTCTGCACAGAAATAATCGTGCCTTTGAATCTGCGTAGAGAGCATCGCGATCATATTATGGTTTTTAAAATAATTAATATTATGATTGACTCAAGTTATTTAACCAGTAACATATTTTATAAATGTGGAAAATCTTCTCTGAGGTCTACTAAAACATTTCCCCTGCCTTTGTGTCCCACCAACTATGACAAAAATAGGTTCACTATAAGATCCCGTTGTGCCTATGATAACAGATATCAACAGTTCGATATTTTTAGTCTTAGCTTAGTTAAGTTAATAAATCTATATCGTCTTGTTTTAATTGAATTGTTATTAGGCCCATTATCATCAATCAATGTTTGTTACGTTTTGTTTTTAATGACATACTCACATGAGTAATAAGAGACTCATCAAAATTTCAATTATTTATACAAAATCTTGTTTATCCCTGTTACAGTTATGAGATTTAATTAAAAATCTACTCAATGTAAAGTTTTATTACGTCGTGGAAACTGATTTGGTTTATGTATAAATCAAATACTTTATACTCAAATGTATTATAATAAGGCAGTATGTTTACCTTAAATAAAAAAAAAATACCTTTACCTTTGTGATTCACTACATGTTTTCTTAGTGTGGATCTCTTTTCAGCCTGAAATAAATTAAAGTATTATTTAAGCATTATCATTAAAAATTAATAGTTTAAAAAAACTAGCAAAACTCGCTTTTATAAATGCACGTAAAAACCAAAAATAAATTATGGATCGTTCAAGTTGTCTCTATTTCTGGGCTGAAGTGTAAATGATGTGCTTTTAATTATAATATTTCACTAAAATATATCTTTTTAGAAAATGATATCAGTCTCCTACATTTTTAACTATACTGTGCTTAGCGATTTTCAGAATAGATATTGGGAAAAAGACACAAAAAAATATTATCATCATTCAACAGCATATTAAAATCTCCACAGTTATGGAACAGGCTTTCCCTATGCATGGAATAGGGAGATTGGGCAATGAGACACCACGCGGGTCCAGAGCTGATTAGTGGGTGCTAACAACTGCAAATTATAGCCGGGACCTTTTTGTTTTTTGTACCATCCGGTTGGTACGCGACATCCGGATGCATCCGGAGCACGAAGGAGCTTGATATAGTTAATATTTGGTCACCCATCCTATTTTCGTCTATTGCGAAAATTGCTTCTTGTGTCATAATAAGTAATGTCATGTACTAACTTGATTATAAATCATTAAGATCTCGGAAGCATATGGCGCATCAGTATTGGCTGCTTGCGTAGGCTGTTTTAGATAATTTTGTTCTAAAATACACTGTACTGCCGTAGTATTCTTCACATAGGGGCATTTTTTATTAATGCAAGGAGCCTGTTTCCCGCTTTTCATCTCAGAATCTGACTTCAGATCGGTGCGCACGACACAATCAGGGCCACAAGATACTGACACACCACGAGGACATAGAGTAACTTCGCCCTGTAACAGGTTGGGGAAACAAAGATTTATTTATGCAAATATTTGGCATCGCCAAATTCCGAATTATAAGAGAAATGGCTTGTGCGAAACATTACTTTGTGATAAAAGAAAGTTCGATTATAGCCACAACGCGACCACTACTTCAAACTAACGAAGAAAATAGATATTGCTTTTCCAAAAACCTTTTTATGTCGCATTTAAGTTTTAAATGGTGGAGTTTCATTTACCAATTTGTGCTGATAGAATAACATACCAGAGCACGTTGCGTGTCATTGCACGTCTTGGAATCACTAGTGTATGCCATTTTAGTACATGGACAACATTTCGGTCCTTTAGGACAATTACATTCACTCGTTTCGCCCCAGCGACGACAAGGCTCCTGGGGGAAAGAGATGAAGGAAATTACCATTTTAAAATCACAAATATAGGTAATGCGCAAATAATGCGTTCAATACCTTTCTAGGAACAGTTTCTTTATCTTCTTTATGTGGTCGCGATATTTGGATTCCTTGCAAACAAAGCATCAATCGCTTGTAAGTGTCCGGGTCCATCTGGCCAAAAAACATTCAAAGAACATATTTTAATTAGAATAAAACAATATATTTCTATTCAGATAAAAAATAATACATTTAATTATGTACCTCACATCTGGTTTTCATTGCGCCACCAATGATAGTAGAATTTAAATTATTTTTTATGGTTGTTAATACAAAGTTTTGTAAAATTTTCCTTGTCTCTTCATTCAATTTTCCATTTCTACTTCTCTTCAAATAGCTCAATATTTTATCGGCTATAGCTTTTCCAGTAGAAGTCTGGGTTTGACTTTCTAAGATGGTGTTCATATTTTTAAAAACATTTTTCATGAACTTTTCTTTCGTGCTTTCACAGATACATTCATTTGCAACATCTACTAAGCAATGCCCATCATCAAAGAGACAATACTTTTCTTGGACGCATCGCGGGCAATCTGTACAAAATTTCCTTACATCCGATGTGTCGATACATTTATGGCATGGTACACATCGGAATTTGAAATCAGCGATTTCTTCATCAACTTTGGCTATTTCTCCTAATAAAGCTTCGTCTTTATTCTGACATTTCTGTTTGCATTGCTCGCAAGTGGTTTTTAAAAAGTCTATTTCATGTTTTAAATCTTCTCTCTGAAATGTTGAATTACAATAGAAGAATCATTTTACGTTTGACTTCATAACATTGTGAATGACACGTCTTGATTAATATGTTTTCTCTTTGTGGTTTTTATGTATTAAGCCTTATATCTTCTATCGGCAAGCCAGTGATATCTGAATTTACAGGACATTTTTGTTATTTTGTTAAATATTTCAGAGAACAGTTTTATTATAATACATTGAACTATAACTTATGTTATTGTTGGCACCAATATTAATATAAACGAGTATTCACACAAACCTCAGTCCCAAGATGTTCATTTTCCAGTTTCTTTTGTAGCATAATTCGATAAATTTTGTAAAGGTCTTCTCTCCCTTCTTCAATACATTTGCTACCTTCTATTTCTCTGTCACTTTTACGTTTCTGCTCCTCATAAACTAACTTTTTAATTCTAGAAATTTCTGTAGACAAACTTTTTATCCTGTCCTGTATCACAATAAATTTATTTTTATTTTAAGGTAATTACATTACTTATATTGTAATACTTTTGTACTTACATCTGATGTCTTCTTCTTATTTTTTATAGTTTCATTTACTGCTTTAATTTGCTTTTTAGTGCCCTCTATTTTATTTTTCAAGGTTTCTATTTCATTTTTCATAAGCGTTATATTGTTTGATTTCACTCGTATTAAATCTTTCAATTCTTGATGATATTTATTGAGGCTCCTTATTTCAAGTTCTAGAATTTTATTACTCTTACGCCACTTTGTCATGCTAGATTCAACTTCAGTCATCTAGGAAAAGACGTAAGCGTTTTTAAAAGAATAAAAACGAGGTCTTCACTTAAGTATTCAAAGTGATGAGACAATTTTTTTTAAATACTCTTGAATTGAAAATGTAAATATTATTATTTTCATTGTTAACTGATTATCAATAGTATTATTAAGTACCTTTTGCATTGTAGCCTTTTGTTTTTCTAAAGCAATTTGTATTTTCTTTTCATACGAGTCTTCCATGCGTGGCCATATAGATTTTGCTTCCTTAAGCTTCGTCAATCCCTCTACTTCCTTATCTTCTAATTGTTGTATCTGATGCTGCAGTTCCTTCTGCATTTCCATTAGTTCACTTATTCTATCATCGCATCTTTTATCAAAAGATACAGCCTAGGAAAACAAAAAATCAAGCATAGACTAGATTATGATGATTTTCAATGTGACTAAGTAATCTGATTTTAGGATTAGGATGGTTTCAATAGAATTTACAAATAATGACATGATTATATGATATTATACGTATTATATTGCTGACGATAATTTAGTTACGAGCGTAAGAGTTAAACACCTGTGGAAGCTGAAATAGCAAATACTTGATAATGTCTCATTTTGTCTATTGCAATCTAATCACGTTAAAAGAATAATGTATCAATAAGTAGTAATTTACCTTATTAACATCACCAAGTGCTTTATTTAGAGGAGTTTCGTGGTTTGACCTTGATTTAACAGATTTTAAATCCTTTGAAATCTTGCTGCTGACTCGAATAAGACTTTCACGGGTACGGGTACTAAAACAGAGAGAGTTCGCTTCTTGTTCTATCCATACTATGCAAAAGCGTGTTTATCTGTTACCTTTCACGCTTAAACCGCTGAACCGATTTAGAGGAAATTTGGTGTAGAGATAGTTTTAGTCCCGGGAATGTATATAGAATAGTTTTTATCCCAGACATCGTCTTTTAGGAGGGTGAAAAGGGGGATGGAAGTATGTATGGGAAACCAAATAAGCCAAGCAGATTCAAATATTCAAAGTCTGTTATAAGATATAATCGACCAAGTGTAGGTCGGGTAACTACGGTAAGTCTCAACAAGATTGGTTTTCATAGTACCTTTTCATCATAAAGATTGCTTACTCACCTCGGACTTGACGATTTTGAATCGCATGAGCAGTTGCTATCAAGTGTTTTTGAAAAACGTTCGTATGAGCTATAATATAAAGTTGAGCTTAGTTTATTAATATCATTTAAAAAAATAAGTTTATTCGCCTGTGCAGACGAGAAAAAATTACCGCCGAGGATTTGTCACAGACTCAACTAATTTGTTGCAATGGAATTTTTATTTTTTTATATATATTTTTAAGTTTTAAAAGAGAATACTAGGTTCATCTCTTTAAATACGATCGAGTGCGCAATGCGTACTAAAGTTCGCTGAGTGCGTTGCTGCGCCTAGTCACATAAGTTAAATTTTTTTCGGGGACACAGGACACCCCCTTACTTTTTTCCAGTATGGGGGGTCAATTGCCTAGCGGAATTGCTATGGAATGGCTATTGTTATAGCTTACGATTTTATTTTGTTATTTCTGACCACCTTGTTGAAAACCTTGTTTTCAAATACCTTACGCTCATTTTCTTTGATATTGTTGTTACCAATACAAAAGAAAAAAGAAGAGCGCGGGGCATTTAAAAACCTTCAGCGGTCAGAAATAATAAAATGATATCGTATGCCATAGCGATAGCCATAGCAATCCCGGTAGGCGATTGGCTTCCCAGTCTCTCGGTGTCTTCGATTGTTCGGGGAACTTTTTACACTCGGTGCTTTTCCATCGTGTGAGTTACTCGATGCAGTTGTAACCGATCTAAATATTTTGAAGACATAAATTACACTTAGCTACTTACTTTGTATTAGATTTTTTACTCTGATTTCGTGATGTGCTTTCGGATTTGGTTAAGCTGAAACGTAAGAAATAGTTTTTATGGAACAAAAATGCTTTAAGCCTGTGGTATAATAAAGTTTTTTGTGTCAAGAACTATTTTGTGTGAACTTTATGAAGGTTCCTTCCTTATTTACTTCTTAAAATGATGGAAAAGGAAAAAATGCTGTGATTTTAGGAAAACACGAAGCTAGCGTAACTTTTAAAATCATGAATAAAAAAGAAGTAATTCAATTCAATTCAATTCAATTCAATTCAATTCAATTCAATTCAATTCAATTCAATTTATTGCAGTCATGTGGTTACATGGATGGTTACAAGTTACAAAATGCATAAAGTACCTAACATGAACCCTGTCAGGGTATCGCAATATAGATAAAAATTACAAAAGAGAATTTAACAAATAAACAATTATCTATATAATGAAGAACCTAATATTTATTAAACAACTTTTTTTTCTCAAAGCATGCATAAATGTCATCTGATTTCATTAATTTTATAACTTACTCAATTGATCTTATTTACAGTACTAGTTTAATTTTGTAAATATTATTATGGAAATTCTTTTATAAAATTAAATTTGTCAATAATTAAAATTAAAAAATATGTCAATAAAAATAAAATAATATGTCAATAAACATGATTATATAATCTAGGTTTGTATTTTAAAGATCGCCTCATTAATATTATTTTGTTGCAAAGTATTCATCTATGGTGTAAAAGCATTTATCTAATAAATATATTTTCAATTTTATCCTAAATTGGTTAAAATGTTTTTCGTTTTTTATGTGAGCGGGTAATTTATTATAAATTTTTATACACATATAATATGGACTGCTACTAAGTTTTCTCAATCGAGATGGTGGTAAATATAATCGATTTTTGTGCCGTGTATTTATATTATGTGTTTCGTCAACTTTTTTAAATACGTCTAAATTTTGATGTACGAATAGTGATACGTCTAGGATATATATGGATGGTAAAGTCAGGACTTTGTATTTTATAAAATATGGTCTGCAGCTTTCCGTATTGTCTATGTGGGCTATGATACGTATACATTTCTTTTGCATTATAAAGAGCTCGTTAGCAGTTGTGCCGTTTCCCCATAGCATTATTCCGTACCTTAGCCATGAATACGCATATGCATAATACGCAGATAACGCCGTGTCTATATTTGTACATTGTTTTAATTGATAAAGAGCATATGTGAACTTAGCAAGCTTACATTTAGTGGATTCTACGTGGGACTTCCAATTTAAGTGCGTGTCAATGGTCATACCGAGCAAATTAAACGATTCTACAGTTTCGAGATCTGCGTTTCGATAATTAATTTTTAAATTTAAAGGAGGCTTCCCGTATGATCTAAACTCCATAATTTTAGTTTTTTCGTTATTAATTTCTAAATTATGATTTTGTAACCAAAGCGTTACTAATTCCAGGGTTTCGTTTGTTATTTGACTCATATTACCAACACTATTACTTTTTATTAAAATTGATATATCGTCGGCAAAAAGTACAGGTTGTACAGATTCGCTAATCAAAAATTTAGGTAAGTCGTTTATGTAGGCTAAGAATAGCATACATCCTAAAACGGTCCCTTGTGGTATAGAGCACGTTAAATCCATGATCTCCGACTGTATTGTTTGGATTACAGTTGTATCCATATCATGATGCAGGATTTCCACGATTTGTTTCCTACTGTTGAGGTAAGACTGAAACCAAAGGTACGCCGGACCTCGTATACCTGAATTATATAGTTTCTGAAGCAATATACTGTACGACACCCTATCGTATGCCCTTGTCATATCAAGTAACAAACCTATAGAATATGCTTTATCATTGACATGTTGAATGGCCATTTGAATGAATTTAAACACTGCGGTAGTGGTGGATTTAGATTTTCGGAAACCATTTTGGCAATCATCCAATATCTTTTGCTTTTCAAAAAAATTGTTTAAGCGAATGAGCATTGCTTTTTCATAGACCTTGGAGAACGCGGGTAATAGGGCTATTGGCCTATAATTGTTAAGGTTGGTTTTGTCTCCTTTTTTGTAAAGGGGTTTTACAATTGACATTTTTAATTGGTCAGGAAAGGAGCCAACGGCAAAGCTTTGATTTATTAAAAAACTCAATGGTGACGAAAGTGTTTCTGCGCATTGTTTAATCAATACAGGGGGTATGCCATCCATGCCACAGCTATATTTGTTTTTCATTGATTTTATTATTTTATTAATTTCTTTGCTATCTACTGGACTAAGATAAATAGAATTTATTGTCGAGCAAGCTGTTGGCAATGTATTTAAATTATTAGAAGCATTAGATACGTTTTCGCCTATACTCGTAAAATATTTATTAAATAGATTACATATGGTTTTTGGACATACTATTTTTTTATCTTTTATTTTTAGGGTTATGTTTTTATGTCTATTATCTTTAGTTTTACCGGTTTTATTATTTATAATTTTCCACATAGTTTTTGTTTTATTTTCTGAATTTGACATTTGTGATATAAACTGTTTCTTTTTTGATATTTGAATGCTACGTTTTAGAGTTTTTGAATATAGTTTGTAATATTTTCTTATAACGTTACTATTAGTTTCATTCAAAATTATTCGTAATATTCTTTTATGTTTACAAGATATTTTTATGCTTGGTGTAAGCCATCCTTTCATGATTTTATTTTTAATAAATATAATTTGTTCTGGAATGTGCTCATTTAATAATGAAATTATTATATTAATAAAAGACTCGTAATTTTCATTTACTGTTTTTGTATTTTTTAAGTATATGTCCCAATCTATTTTTACTAATGAATCTTTAAAGTTAGATATATTTTGTTTTGAAAAAAATCTTTTCTTTACTTTCCAATTATTTATAATATTATTTTTATTAAAAGTTTTTAAAGTTATGTTAATAGATCTGTGGTCTGATATTCCGTAATCTTTAACATAACAATTTTTAACTGCGTCTTTTCGATTTGAAAAGAGCAAGTCAATACAAGAGCTTGTTGTTTTAGTAACGCGAGTTGGTTCATTTATCTGCTGGTAAAAATTATGTGATAACATTAGGTTATTTAAATCTGTTGCATTTTTATTTTTGCTTAATGTGTTAATATTAAAATCTCCACCGATCAAAATGTGCTTAGACGATTCTTTTAAATTTAATTTGCTCAACAATTTTACCATTTGTTCAAAAAATATATGAATGTGGCGATCCGCTCTATATATAATTATGATAAGACAATTCAAATCTGGAATCTCAAGGGCACATAGTTCAATTACAAATTCTACAGAAAAATTAACAATGTCCACCCTCTCTATAAACTCTATATTTTCTATTATAAAAATTCCGACTCCGCCACCTTCATGATGTTTCCTGCAAAATCGGGACGCAAGCTTGTATCCCGGTATCAAGATGGATTCACAGAAATCTTCATGCCTCCATAACTCTGACAAGCACAGTACATCTATCCTATACTCTAGCAGTAATTGTTCAACCAAATCAACTTTATTTCCAATACTTTGTATATTTTGATAAGTTATGGTAAAAGGGATATCACCGCCATTTTCATTGGGCTTAACGAAATGTTTTAATAGATTTTTCTTTAGCACTTTCTTGGAATTTAAGTTTATTTCCCGATGATGTCGGCTTTTCTGCACTCTGTTGTTGTGATGTTGTCTGAGCGCAAATTGGCGAACGCATCCTGTCACTCTTCTGTGTGAACTTTTCAGCAACTTGATCTACATCTGCTATAAATTCTTTACCGTTAATAAATAATTTATTATACTTGATAATTGCGTGATCTCCTCTTTTCCGCGCTATTTGTAATTGATTTTTTAGCTCGTTACGTTCATGCAAAGTTTCTCCCGTTAAGAATTGTGTGATAGTCAATCCGGTGCTCTTTAGACGTCTAGAATTATCTAACATAAATTTAGTCATTCGTTTGCTTATGAATTCAATTGCCACTGGTCTTTTTTTTCCATGTTTTCCTATACGTTTCATATCTTCTACATATGGATCTATACTAATATTCATGATCTCATAGATAGCACGGCAGACGCTGTTGTTTAAGTCGATTTTAGATTCGCTGTCATTCTCTGGCAAGCCATATAGTACAATTTTTTTGTTGTTATCTAGATTTCTTAGTTGTTTTTCGATATTGTTAATTTTAATGTCTATACGTTTCAAGTTTTCTGTAATTTGTTTTTGTTCAACTTTTGTCTGTTCTACGTCATTTTGTAATCCTGTTATTATCTTATTTACTTCTACATATATTGTATTTTTAACTTCCTGTAATATAGCGATTTTCATTTTCTCAAGCTTTTTATCTAGCAATAAACTTATATTTTCTAAAGTTAAATCACTTTTTTGGGGATTTGTTTCATTCAGCTGTGTGTGTCCCGATATTTCATCTATTGACATGTCATTTTCATTGAAGGACTGCTCTATTAATGGTTTATTTTTAATTTTATACCTCTGAGTTATATTTAATTCAGAAGGCGACAAAGTAATAGTCTCTGTACGGTCCTGTGTAGTAGCTCTTACTGGGGTGCTATCTTTATTGTTTTTAGGCATTTTACATATACAAACTTGACATCTCCAGGTCTTTTTGTGGTCTATTGTCATTGTATTGTAGAATCGCTTCTCTGATATATTTGCGCAATCTAAGTCGTAATTTTCATTACACAAAGAACATTTTATAAACCTTCTATCCGGTATAATCTGTCTACACCCAGCACACTGCATCTTGTAGTCACAGTTGTTTTCTGTTATTATTGCAGACCAACGCCCTCTCTCGCAGTGTAATTATGATAAAGTATGTATTAGAAATGGATACCGATGTCTCGGAATTTGTACAGGCAACTTTTTTCAATTTTTATACTTTCCGTCAGATGTCGCTGTTAGCAGTAGTATTTTATTAGATTAGAATAAATTCACAAGAAATATTTCCTCTGGCCAGATAAAAAGATATTTGTGACTTGGGATTTGAACTCAAGATCTACCCATGAAGCAGCGACCTAAGCGGCGTTGAACCAAACAGCTCATGACGACATCGACAAAATTATTTAACATATATGAGCTGCATAAATCGTGTTAACCAATTAGATTACAGTTTGGTGTTTTGAACAATAAACGGTTATCACTTTCTGTTTTTGTTATAAAATTCACTGTTTTTTATTATTCCTTCAATATTTGCACTCGATTATCAATTTATTGTGATCACACTATATTTTTTTTGCATTAGATTCTAATTATTTATACTGTTTATAATGCTTTAATGATAAATTTCACTGGTGCACTTATTCCACTTTTTTCATCGAAATTGTTCATTTATACTTTCACAAACAATAGTTCTCGTTAATCAGTCGATGTTTTACTTAATGATCACTTTTGTAAACTTATTAATTTAAAATAGATATTTTTTTCAATTATTATATACGGAGCCGATGTTTACTCAGATAGCAGCGCCATCTAACCCCCCGCCAATAGCAGGCGAGTTTTCTACAACTGAACTAGCGATACTTGTTTTTTAAGACAGTTTGTTTTAATGACAATCAAAAATGTGATACGACATGCTAAAGATGTAATAAAAATCATTTTTTTTCGTTATTTTTTCTATTAAAGTGAGACTATTATTACATAATAAAAGTTTCACTTTAATAGGCAATGACCTTTGAATTTCTTAGTCGCAAGCTTTTTAATTCCACCATCATCATCAGCCTATTAAGGTCCCCACTGCTAGAGAACAGGTTTTCTATATGGATGGAATAGGGAGATGGGGTCATGACCCACCACGTGGGCTTAGTGCGGATTGGTTGGTGCTAATGATTGCAGACGCAGCCGAGATCACTGAGGAGCTCGAGATAGTAAATTTTTGGTCACCCATCCAGTGACCGACCACTCTTAAAGTTGCTTAACGATCGCAGCCGAACGCGCTAATCTCTTGCGCCATCGAGCTCCTCAAGTTTTAATCCCATACTTGTTTCTTAGGTTTTCACGCACATCACTCATTAAATAAAACTAGTTTTTACGGGTTAATGCACGAAACTTTATTTACGCAACGCTCAATAAAAGTCTTTCGAAGGTAGCTCGACAAATTAAATAAAAGTTTTATTCTGACGACGAAACCTGTAAAGGCTACGAAACGTCAATAAATAAATAAAGTTTCGTGCATTAACCCGTAAAAACTAGTTTTATTTAATCCCATACAATAAACCAAACATTTGTTGCACAAAAAGTTCGTGATTGATTATTGTTTCTAAACTTCAAAGTTATCATTAGCACTCGAATTCCTTTATCATAGCTATTTTGGTATTGAGATCTCAGTCATTAAAATTTAATGCCAAGCGGTTTGGTAGATTCGTACCTACTTTAACACTTATGTGTGAGTACGGTTTGGGCTTGGGTTTTATTTCCGGTAAGGGCCAGCGTCGGAAATGAAATCTTGTAAATTATTACGTTCTATAAAAAAAAAGAAATATGCGAAAGTAAAAAGTTTTTTTTTTCAACAAATTCTAGTGAGTAAATTTGAGAAATGAGGTCGAATTGTACATCGAAAAAGTCAAGGTATTCTAGATTTATAACACAAAAAATCGATTTCGTCTTCATCTGCCTATAAGTATCCCCACTTTTGGAGCCTTTCCTATGTATGGAATAGAGAGATTGGGCCATGATCTACCACACGGGGTCAGTGCGGATTGGTGGATGCTAACAAGGGCTCAATGTGTCTTCCGAAGCACGGAGGAGCCCGCATTGTTCATTTTTGGTCACCCATTCAATAATCGGCAAATCCGAAAATCAATCGCTCCTCGATTCAAAATTCGATTCATATAATAGATATTTTTTTTTACTTTCTTTGTATAAACCGCCCCAATAAAGAAACAAATCGAAAATGGCGCACTGACAGATGGCAGGGTTAACAAATAAAAAGAAAGATAGAAAGAAAAAGTAGTTTATTGTCAACAAATATACACCTTATTTTAAAACTGAACTAAACTATTCTGTACGGGATGAAATTGGCATGGGCAATTTTTAGGGGCGATAATTGGCATGATGACTGATACTAAAATAATATCTTATATTTTCACAATAACCAATATACACAAAAACGAACGAACGAAAGGCCTAATATATATTTTACTTTCAGCAATTTACGATTTATTAATGAACAAATAACCACAGAATTTGAGAGAAAACAGAGCGCACCGAGACAATGCGAGAACAAAGTCAGAGCTGTTTTTTTTGCATGCAGTACACGCCGTGTGCGACTAAAGACAGCAATAGTTTAGAGTGAGAGCGCATGATCGCCGCCGCCATTTTAGATTTGTTTCTTTTTTGGCACGGCTTATACGCATTAGAATTGTGGCCACAGTTAGACGGTGACAACGTAGGCCAGCGCGCGTGATCTTCTGAAGGAAAGGGGAAGGTGGAATAAGAGGGAATAACTCCTCAGAACACTAGCCGTGGTGCAGATGATAGAGTGCGCTTAGTGACACCACGTCACGGCGTAATTGAAGAGGCTCGAGGGTGTTTAGTCACCTCCTCATCGCCTTTGATGCAGATCGCGCCGCTGTAACCTATCCAAAGCATCGAGCACGTACTTGACGGTACGAGTACAAGTAATATAATATAATAAGATAATTGAACCAATGTATATGAAGAATCCTACCTTTTCTTTGTATCTTTGCTAGAAGTATCTTTGCTTTTCCTACAGCAATTTAGCTCTTGAGTCCTTAATCTTCTGCTGCTTTTATTGCTTACGTCCATATCTTCACAATTTCCGTCCGTCTTTCCTGGCTGTGGAATGTCAATGGATAATATTATTATAGACTAATATTATCCATTGAAGCCTTGTTCCAAGACAGTAGCATATTTATGCGCTGTCTATACCCGTTTAATAGGCTAGTTAACTCATATCGAATTGTATTAAATAAATGTTTATTTCTTAAAGTATTTGGTCTAAGGAACCTAAATATATCGATTTCACTTCATAAAAGCAAAAGATTGCTGTAGATATTTAATTTAAAAAAATATTTTTAAGTCCATACTTTTTAAACACTAAAAACGCTGTTCGCCACATTCGCCATGATTGTGACGTCTCTTTGGTAGTACACAACTAAATGCCATTCATACATAACCTTAAAACTTCTATTATTAAAACTGATAATAAATGTAGAGACTTAAAATATTATTCAATGAGTACTTGAGTAACCGAGATGAAAACAAAAAAAAAATGGATCTGTATAACTTGAAAATTGGTGCGACAAGTCCCCATGCAATGACCATTAAGATATATAACCATATACCCAATAGGATAAGGCAGATACAGGAAACTAAACAATTTAATGGATGTTTAAAGAAGTTTCTAAGTGAAAAATGTTTTTACAGTCTAGACGAATACTTTAAAGATAAATATATTTAGATTTTTAATATAATATGTAAAAGACATTTAAATTTGATGTTAATATTATTTTTATTATGTACTATTTAATTTTATATATTTTTTTAATGAAATTAAATTTTAGTATTATAATGATCGACATTTTAAATTTACTTTTATATTGACTTGTTATTTACGAAATTTATTTTAATGAAATGAAATTTTAATTTAATATTTGACATGTGAATTGTTTTTTTGTTTGAATTAATCTAATCATTAATCTACAATTAAAAATATTTTTTACATTGCATGCTACCATAAAATTGCTATGCCCTTGCAGGGCGTCACATGTTATAAAACCTTTTGTACCCCAAATACCATGTACACACTTGTGATATGCAATAAATTATTATTATTATTATTATTATACTTACGTCAAAGTAATCTTCGCAAAAATAAATTTTACTCGATATGAGTCGCTAAAGTTGCAGGATCCCTTTAAGCAAGTTCTAACCAGGCATTGCGTAGGTTAATTTCTTTCTGTACTTTAATCCACAGCTTTCCTGGAGTCTCCAAGGATGTGTTTTTACAGTACAATACAATAATGATAATTACTATATTTTTCGTGGTATTTATTAGAAATCATGTTTTTTTTATTATAAACTGTTGTTTACTACCGTTGGACGTGATAGCATAGATAATCTATAGACTAAAATGGCCGACAGCGTTTTTGTATGTCCATGAAAAGTCTATTTGAAAATTAAAGATTTGTAGCTTTCTAGGTCTCAAACAATACAATAATTTTTTTTTCGGTATAATAGAACATTTATTAACCATTTAAAACCTTATTCCAAAAAGGGTCAACTAGCCTATTAGCTATAACTTAGCATTACTTCTCGTATTTCATTTTATCTTTATCTTTCATATGTGAATCCGACTCTTACTTAAGCGTTTTTTATTAGTACAGATTCTGTAATCGCATAATTATACTTTGATATTACCTAACATTGCATCTACAACTTAGCACTTAGCTGTATTGCCTTTAAAAGCGTATACAGCACTTATGGAGGCTGTAGGCTTTAAAAGAATAGGTGTGTTCTTTTATAGCTACCTTCAGACTTATTATTCCAAGGCGCCTACATTTGTATAGAGCCCCTGTGTTACTTCATCAAAAATTATGAGATAACTACGTCTCCTAACAATATACTTATTTTTGGCAAAGTTGTCAAAATGTGTTTGTTACCTTCAAATTGAAATTGGGGTCTTCCTTCAGAAAATTGTAGATTTCAGAAGTATGCTTGGCGTTAGATATGGATTTGATGGTGCCGTAATTTCTGAAGCCATGGCTATTCTTTTGGTTGAGCTCGTGTAACGCTTGCCAGCGATGGTTTGAATAAATCGTGCTATGCATTTTGACACATCGAAGTTTTCTAATAAGAAAAAAAGATGAATGAGAAAAGAATATCCATAGGTACTCAGCGAAGAACTCGATTGCGCAGGTGTTTAGCGCATTCGGCTGCGATCGTAGAAATAAAGCAACTTTCGCAATGGTCGGTCATTGGATGCGTGACCATAAATCTTCTATCTCGAGTAACTCCGTGCTTTGAATTGCATGTTAAGCCGTTGGTCACGGTTTTATCTGCAGTCGTTAGCGCCCGCCAATTAACACTGGGCCCGCGTGGTAGGTCATAGCCACTCCCTATTCCATTTATAGGGAAGGCATGTGCCCCAGCAGTGGGGACATTAATAGGCTGATGATGAGGTACTCAGCTATTTACGAGGATACCTTACGCTGCTGATTTCAGTTAAATAGAATTGATTATACATTCTATGATCTAATCTATCTACTATGCTTACGGAAATCAAGGATTGATGGTAATGGTCTAATAACGTAAAATTCAAATTAGCACCATTTGCAATTTTGTATAGGTTATGTTGCAAAGCAGTAGGTTCTTTAGGAACATAACTAAACTAACTAATAACTAATACACATATACAATAAATGTACAGTATTTAGATCAAAAAAATGTTTGGTACTTACATTGATTATGTCAAATAAACCTAAACAAAGGATAAAAGGAGCCTAAATTTTAAGCCATGGGGTTTGAATCATGGCTAAAACTCGAGTAATTTATATACGCGCCACCGTAGCATAATAATCTACGACTGGCGCTATGTTGTCATAAATTAGATCATAATTTTTGTAATGGAGAATCGGAGAAAGCAAGTTCAAAAAAATAATCAAAGGCAATGCGTAGACAATTATAAGACTAGAGTAGTTCTGAATACCCTTTTTAATATTATTTCTGTTGATCTCTTTGATATAGGAGCTATTATTAGTATTATTATTTTTTTACACACAATGATTAGCCTAGCCCCGAAAGTAAGCACTGTACGGTTTCTGTTATGGGATACTAGGGTAATGGATAGAATACATTGTATACTAATACATATATAGTGTATATTTACATATAAATACATATTGAACATAGTAGACAGGAGTACAAATGCTCGTATTCATTACACAAACATCTGCCCGGGAACTCTCGGACCCGGGCAACTCTCGAGTCGGCGACATCTTGAAACCCGGCGTACAAACCACTCGGCCACGGAGGTTGTCAAATCGTAGTTAGAGTGAAAATGTTGATTCATCAATGGTTGTTTGATGCTCATGGTTGATGCTGACGCATGTTGATTAGCTTGCTAAAGTATTACAAAGCGCTTACTAACTAACTGATCAAATATTAATTGTCATGTCATGATTCACTGTGAATGAATCTTTAATCTTCTGAAGTTTAGAGCAATATCACCAATAGCAATAAGGACGTCACGTAGCTCTGTATCCTTAAGTCATGATTATAATAGACTAGCGGCCCGCTCTCGTGTAGAGCTGAAGTGTAGACTATAGTTTTTGTTCTGAGGCTTGTATTATACACAATGACATTCATCTATGATTCTTCTCATACCTGCATGCAAAGTCTCAGCCCGATGGGTTTAAAATTGACAAAGTTTCATACAAACTTTCATTCCCTATTTTATCCCCTTGGTGGTAGAATTGATCAAAATCCTTTCTTAGCGGATGCCATCGTCATAACATCTGCCTGCATGCCAAATTTCAGTCCGATCCATCCAGTGGTTTGGGCTGTGCGTTGATAGATCATTATGTCAGTCAGTCACCTTTGAGTTTTATATATATAGATAGATATCTTGGCTGTATTGGCAGTGGTTAACTTACCAACTCAACTACCACTGCATTTTGAGACTACGCTATAGGTCACCACTTATATTTCTTTTTAAAATGGTGGTATAGTCGGTAATTAAAATTATAGATTTTTGTCACTTAAGTATATTCTAAGAACCGTATTGAACATATCTGAACCATCAGAGTAATGATGTTTTATACCAGTTCTTAGAATTATGCAATAACCATTCTAAAGAGTAAATTTTACTTCCATTAGTAACCTCAGATTAATAACTACCTACAATAATAAAATTCCATTAAATCTATGGTCAAATTTTGAATGCAAATAACGATACCAGCTGTCCGTGTTAGTAAAAATCTGTGCTCTAAATATCAAAATAATGAGGGAAGAATCTCAAGAAGAATACTTAATGACAACGTCACAAAGATCAAAACAGTAGACAAAAGTCAGAGCACCAATTCATCAAAATTCTAATGTAAAATAGTTTTCTTTATTACAATGTTCTGCTTCTGACTTAATCACTGTGTATCTATCTATATATTAATAAACTGAAAATTTTTGGTTCAAAAACATAGTTAAAACTTCTACTGTGAGTATAAGTTTTCATAAATCACAAAGTTATTTGACAAAAATGTGCTCTAAATGATGGCAAATGACTCTACCCCAACTGGTGCAGTAGTTTAAATAAACTGCTAAAATAACGATTCTCACCTTGTCGGCCTGCAGAAATGCTTCACACGTGCAGGAAGGAGCACGTGCGCGGCCAAAAAATTCCACTAGCTAATAGTATGACAAAGAAATGAGTCACCAAATTTATTTTGTGTTGTAGATACAATTGGGTTGTAGATAGAATAATGAATTCTTAAATCTCCGGAAAATATTTAATAGTTATGATTTCAATCCACCCAGGTGATCACAGATAATGAAGAAATACTTGTAAACGAATAGAAAAGTGAAAAATGACAAGAAAATTTCTTCAGTAGAAAAAGCAAATTACAGCCTTTAATCTCGGTGGCTAAATAAGAACAAAATTTTATATATTTGGTTTGTACACTTCAGACATTGTGGTCACTATTTTGAGAATACTACTTGTATTATACTATCCGTGTTGCACGTAGTTCTACATCCAGTATCACCGGTATATAAGTTCTTCGGTGTTACATTAAATCTCATAAATTATTCTAACACGTCTAATCAGTATGAATATGTTGCACCTTCCATTATGCTAGGTCAGGAACGCGCCAATAATAAATAAGACTTCTTGATTAAGTATCATTTATTTTGGTGGTGGTCTCGCGGGCGCTCTCCAACAAGGTGGACAGACCTTATTAAATCGGCGACGCACTCTAGCGTAAATGATTGTTCTCGCTCTGCAAAACATCGAGCTGCATGGCGACGCATCGCGATTGCATCAGTGGCACAGGAATCGACCGAGACATGACCACGACCACTCTGTCAAGAGTACACGACTAGGAAGAAAGAATTTTTACACCAACAAATTACACTTGCGGAACCAAAACCGATAATCCAAACCTAATAAACCTTCCGTATCAAACTAAAGATGCTTCTATTTCGAAAACTAACGACCGACTGCCTTTATTCTGTTTTTCGAAAATCGTGTTACCTCTCTGAATAAGTATCATATGGAAATGACACCAAAACATACACATACGTAGTTACATTGTAATTTGGTATAGAAATTACAGGAATAGTGTTGTCTCCTTTTTACATTCCTATTGATACATATGAAAAAGACACCAGCACTCTATTTCGAAATATCCGCTACAGTAGTGAAAATCTATAATAATAAAAATAATAATAAGAATAATAATATTCTTTATTGTATAACACCACAAAGAACATAAAAGTAAGATTACACTACACAACGGACATTACACAACGGGCAGCCTTATTGCTTATAGCAATCTCTTCCAGGCAACCCATGACGGAAAATTAAATAAGTATATAAGAACAAAAAAAGGAGGCCCTTCCCCAAGCAATATTTTAAAATAAAATAAAATAGGTAATAATAATGCATATTTATATTAAAAATAAAAAAAGAAACAAATAAATAAATAAAGGAAAGAGGTATTTTCAAAGTAAGGATAGGAAATGACGCTTCACTTGATCACTGAACGGGTCCAGAGTGCGAGCCCTTCGAATGAATTCCGGTAATGAATTCCACAAGCAAACAGAATGCACAGAGTAGGAGTAAGAAAGGAAATCAGTCGAATGGCAAGGTATTTGGAGAGTGAGATTAGAAGAGGAGCGTAGAATGCATTGTGAAGAAGATGAACGAAAAGAGAAGCATTGTTTTAGAGAAGGTGGAGAAGTAGGTAGGAAAAGTACATAATAAAGAAGCGTAAGAGTATGTAAGTCCCTGAGCCGGCAAATAGGGAGCCAGTTGAGTTTCGAGTGGAAGTGTGATACATGGTCAAATTTACGGAGATTATAATTATAAATCTGATAGCCATATTCTGCAAACGTTCCAACTTGCTTAGCAGTTCCTCGGAAAGATCAGTGTAACATACATCAGCATAGTCCAGAATGGAGAGTAAAAGAGTATACGCCAGATTGATTTTAGTACTGATCGGCAAAAAGTTACGTAGGCGATTAAGTGAGTTGTATTTGTAAATCTATATCTAATAAACAAAATAATTGTGCTCGTGTCGTTTAGCTCCCCATAAGTAATCTGTGGTTCCCTAGTTTGTTTAAAAATAAACTCAAAGTTGTCGACGTGATTCTTATTGGAGGAATTTAAAACCGAGAAAATAATTAAATTTAGGATTTAAACATAAATATGAAGTTTTATGTAATTAACTAGCTGACACAGCGAACTTCGTACCGCCATAAAAAAAATTAATTAAAAAAACATTGTCCAGCGGACAAAATTGTGAATCTAAACCATCCTCAGATCCCCTTGAACACACACAAAAAATTTCATCAAAATCGGTCCAGTCGTTTAAGAGAAGTTCAGTGACATACACACTCACAGAAGAATTATATATATAAAGATTGTAACCTGTGCTAAAACAAAAATAGACCTAACCTAAGTTTTCACCGGTAAGTAACCAATTTTACTAGAAATCGCTATTTATAGCAAATTTTCGAAGTTATATTAAACTTGTCTCCTCAAAAGGAGTATTGAAGTGATCCTTGGACATTGTGTCTTTTATATACTTGCTCGTTTATTTTGAAATTGTTTACTGAATATGTTGTGGCCTTTGTATATTTCTTGTTTTCTATTTTACATTATGTTATGGAAGTTGACCTCAATAAATGTGTATAATTTTGAAGTCAGCTTTCAATTCAACGACACTGTATGAAATAAAACAGGGAGAAAAAAGCAGCCTATGTTTCTTACCGGTTCTTCTCAGTATACAAGGTCTCCCGCCGTAGATTTGCGAACCGACGGCGTAGCTTTCGACTTTCATATAAAGCCTAAACGGAATAAATGAATATTGATTTTTTTGAATTGCAACACCTGAAATATATGTTTATAATTTTACTAAAACATGAATTTTATTTAAAAAAAAATATCATCGATATGCCCTTGAGTTACTTTTAGTTTAATATTTAATAATGATTAATTAAAGTTAATTAGCACCAGCCTTTATCAAAATGTGCACATGCAGACGAATAACGAAAAGGTTTGTGAAATTTACTAAGCCATTTCTTATTTCTGTCCGTGTATTTAAAAACAGTGGTAGAATGTAACTTACGTTCAATAAAATTATCTCCAATTGTTTCTGAAATTCAAATAGATTCTTCTCTCCCTTCGACCCTTTTCTTCAGTATATTTATAAGACAACTTACTGATATAGATACTGCCAGGACTGTATATTTTAGTTACTTTCATAGTATCTTATCATACAGCATTGTACTCTGGGGAACAGCAGCTGATATTGAAAGTATATTTATTCTACAAAAAAGAGCTGTGAGATCTATTTATCAATTGAGTAGCCGAACATCTCTTAGAGAAAAATCCCTATATGCCTTGACCACAGCAAATAAAACATATCATCGATAAAAAGTATCGACTAAAGACATCCTACGTCCGCCATGTTTGCTCCCCGATTTATTTATATAGGTAAACACGCGAAGTACATGCTTGTGGCATTTCCATATGAAACTTATTCAGAACGTTACCTTTTTAAATTAACAAAATAAGTATTGCCACTTTAAAAAATACATAATATATTCTTATTTTGTAATAAAGCGTTAATAAATATCATGAAATCAAGTATTATAAATTACCAAGCTTACAAATAAGGTAATTATTTTAAAGGGCTTGACACGGCGAACACAATTGTAAAGGCTTTCCTTTACCTTTTGTTCTGACGTTTCCACGGATTTCTTCACGGAAGTTACCCGTTACAGTTTACTAAAATGCGCGTGTTGAATATGTCCAATAGTATGACCACGTGGGACACATGATTAGCTTCAGCTGGTCTGACATTACTATCGATCATTTCAGTACAACATGCGCGATATACCAGAGTGTTTGAGCCGCCGTTACCAGGTTCTAGATGAACTTGTAGAAGACTTGACTTTGATGGCATCCACTCAAGGCACACGGAACCAGTGTCCCAAGGAGGCTAATGATGCCAGCGTAAAACTGATGTGTGAATTCTGGAATATTTTGAAAGAAAACCCAGATTGTAACTTGACGGTAATTGTGATACTTAAATCTAATTATATACTTTATATATTAATATTTTAAGCAAGACAAGAATTAAATTTTTGTGTACAAAGTTCTGTGCAATTTGAAAGAGGTAAGTATATTAGTGCATCCGCTCGGATAGCGGAGGGTGCGGGTTCCAGTCCCGTCTGTTGATCTTTTCCTAGTAAAATTTTCTTTACATTTAAACATCTAGCAGTTAAATAATTAAAATTAATATAACAAAGTACTTATAATTATTACGTAGGCAAAGTGGGCGTAAATTGAATAATATTATAAACATTGCCTTGATGCTTTTGGCATTTTATATATTGCCTAGGTATTGTACAGAATGCTTAGTTAAAATAATAAAGGTAAAACCGCGATACTCATAAAAGCTTATCAGCATCTACAACTCTAAATTCTATTCTGATGAAATGAAATTTATTTATTCACACAAAACAGAGTAGATGCATTTTGGTGGTGATTTTCATTTAGTTCGTCCATTTTGCCAACGACAGGGCATGTGAATGTCAAACTTAATTTAATTCTAAAATTTATAGGTACCTATTTCAATTTTCTTATTCTATTCTAAGTCAATTTTCGTTTCTAAATATTCTCTAAGTGAGTAAAAACATTTTAGTTATTATCCACATTTTAAGCTTCCTTATAAATATAGGGAAACTAAGCTCCGTTATCAAGCGTTGTAACTTATTATAGATTTTTATACAATTCGGATAGCAGTTTTTATTGTAATATTGGGTACGCATATTGGGCAAAGTCAATAATCTGCAGGTATCTGTGTTTTTAAAATTATAAGGATGTGTCTTAACAAATATACAACATTCCAAAATATAAATAGAGGGAAGTGTAAGTAATTTTAATTTGGGAAATAGTTGCCTGCATTATGTTACGCAAATGACATAATGCAGGCAGCTATTTCCCAAATTAACATCGCATATAGCTCGGATGCATTGTTTTTGGGAGATAAAAGCTCTGTTAATGTCCGTAAAATTTCCCCACTAAAGAATACCGTATTTAAGATTGGATGCAACATATCCGTGATAAGCCATTAGAGCTGCGTTTTGCTTTACAAGTCGATTTAACCGCCACAATGCATACCCAAACCTATTTATCTTATTACAGATTTTTTTTATGTGATTCTTCCATAAACACTGGCTATCAATCACCATTACTAAAAAAATGGTGAATCTGATTCCATGATAGGCTTGTCATGTATGCGTAAAGTTATATTATTTGATTTCCGTTTTCTATTAAAATGTCGTATACTTAGTTTTATTTATATTCAAATTTAAATTATTATTTTTGAGCCAATTAGAAATATTATTCATAGTTATATTAATTTCATCATTATAGTTTAAGTCAGTTCTATTCATTATAACTACAGAAATGTCAGCGAATAAATGGCATTGCTGATTTGAACCATTTACCAAGTATTTACTTTGTTTCTGTTGTGAAACAAAACTGAAAGCCCATAAGTGATAAACTTCGAAATTTGCCTTACTTTTTGCGCAAGGAACGGAAAATGAAATGAAAATAAATAGACTTTGCTTTGGCTTCGCTTCTTAATGACCCCAACTTTTTCGCAAGTCAGTGCAAAATCATTTTATTCGACTTTATTTGTAGAATTGCTGACTTAAACATTCTAACGTCACTTAGAAAAAGGGAGAAACCGCCAGAACTCTGTGGGCTAGTAAGTGAAGGTAAACTCAGGGAGGTTCTATCTAGGGACCATACTATCATCCACAGTGATGATAGTAGTGACTTTCACCAGTGTGGATAGTCTTAACAGGGTGCTACGATCATACCTGCAGCACGCATTCTGGGGACCTCGGTCTCAGAGTGCGTGTCAGGGATCGATGCAAGAATCTTTAGTTTTTGTGGGTCACCGAGCCCTTTGCGTGAAATGAGTGGGGGAGAAGTCTTCACAATTATCCTCGTTGCAACTCCCTCTGGCGAGGAAGGCGTCACGCCTTTTCTAAACATTGAAGAAGAGGTGGCTGATACGGTACTCATTTTTGTTGTAACTTGAATTTTCTGAAATTGACTCAACTCAAAGATTCATGGCGATGTCTTATTTAATTTAACAAAAAGAAAATATAAAATACCTACGCTCACTTTTTATATAACTTTTATCGCTGCAGCTCCTTGCGTAAAAAATGCACTTTACTATTAGCTGTTGAGACTAACTGAACTATAAATATAATATCCAGCAAGCAGTTCGTGAGCGGATGGGCTTGGACAATAAGGCCAACTTTAGTTTTAGACCGCACCGGATGACTTGTTTCATGGCAGAGCAAGAGGAACCAAACACAAACGAAGGTGAACAGAAAAAGTAAGGTTGATTTTTCATTTCAGCTATTTAGTTGATTCATATGTTTGTGTAACTGTGTGTCTTTTTAATATTTTCTACAAATTTTAATATTACTTAGATGGTATCTTGGTACTTGGACTTCACGTACAGATATGAGTACATATTATGGTCTAATATATTATTGAGGGTATATGATCCAAATGATTGCTATTTTCTGTATCCAAAAATTTCGTAAGTGAGGAATAATAGAACCAATTTTAAGCTCTTTTTCTCTTTACCCTATTTGTAGGAGGACATGTTGTGTAAAAAGAGTGGAAAGCCCAAAACAAAATGAAAATCCTGAATCGAAATCAAGTGGCTGTTGCAGTTCCAAATCTATATCTCCGAGGTCGACCAATGAGGGCCTCCCATTAAGCAAGGTTCTGTGCAATTTGAAAGAGGTAAGTATAATTAGTGCATCCGCTCGGATAGCGGAGGGCGCGGGTTCCAGTCCCGTCTGCTGATTTTTTTAGTAAAAAAATCTACTAATTCTAAAGTACTTATAATTATTTAAGACCAATCCTTATGTTTTGCAACTTTTGTATTTATAACATTAGCTGTTTGATTATTTGTACTTTAATAGGCTGTATCATTTGATAAAAAATGTAACGCAAGAATCGGTGAGCTTGTCGAAGCTCAGAAACAGCTAAAAGAACAAATCCAGCAATTAGAGGAGAGGGAGAAAGAAGGAACTGAATTATTAAAACAAGCCGAATGTATGTGGTCATGTATGGAGGCTGCTTATAAGATGAAAGTCAAGGAGTCGCTTGAGAGGCAGAGTAATTTATTAAAACAGGTAACTAACTGTTACAATATAATTTGAAACTTAAATTTTAGTGACGTCATCCAGCTCAAATTAATGCTACATAACTTGCAAGGTGCCTCGGCAAAAAGCGGTATTAATAGAGAAGATCATAAAATATCTTATTAATTTTATTTATGGATTTCACTGAAAATTTATTTTCCTGTAGCTGCTAATTATTTGCTTATATTTTTAGATGAAAGAAATAGAAACCAGTAATACAAAATGGCGTAAAAATAAGAAAGATTTAGAAAATCAGGTAGTAAATGTAGATAAGTGTTGTAAAGAAATAAAGGACAAGCACCAAGAGAAAAATAATGACATTAAGTGTATAAGGATGGAAATAGATAACTTCAAGGACAGAATTGAAAAAAATACAAAACAGCTAGCTGCAGTGAAAAAATCATTCGATAATAAGAAGAAAGCTTCCGATGTTAGTTAAAAATAGCCAGGGTAATGTGATGTAACTGATTTTGATGAACCAGTTAGAAAATTAAATTATGATTTTTTTCTATAGGCTAAGGTAGCAAGTTTATCAGCAGAAATGACAAAAATGAAAAAAGTAGCTGAAGATGAAAAAAACTATAAAATGGAAAAGGAACAAGAAGGTAGCAAATATATAAAGGAGGCAAGGGATGATCTACAAAAGATTTATAGGCTTTTACTGCAAAAGAAACTTGAAAATGAAGATCTTAGAGCTGAGGTATGAACTCTCACAAAATTTCTTCATGAATGAAGGTTCATATAGTCTTTGACGACGCTACGAGGGTATTGAGTATGTTAAATTTAAAAAATAATCTAACATCAACAATATTTACATCAAAGCATTCGCAAGCGTAAAATTATACATTGACACAAACCAACTACAACTTTAATTATAGGCATTACGCAATTGCAATTTACAGACAATATTGCTCTTACAGTTTTTTACAATATGAAATATTTTTTTATAAAATTGAATCATTAGAAATTATGAAAGGAGATCATGATTCTACATAATATTATGATTAAAAACCATAATATAAGTGAAAGGTGTATATTCTTTACAAATATAGTCTAAAATATTATTTCATTCATCAACATCAAAGTGTTAAAGGTCCTTGTTTCTTTGTGAGATAGATAAATATACTTACTTCAATATCAATATTTCAAAACTTGTACGCTTGGAAATTACATAATTTGTATCTATCTAAATCATATCTGCTCGGTTTCAGAAACAAACACTGCTTCAGGAGTTAGATTTATTGAAAAAAACATGCGAACAATGTAAAGATAAATGTCAAGGTAAAGAAAAAACCATATTAGACGAATTAGGAAAAGTTGATGCAGAGATAGCTGGATATAAGGCGCGATGCATACAGTGTCACCAAAGCATAGACACAACTGATGTGCGAAAATTCTGTGTTGATTGCCCGAGATGCGTTGAGCAAAGAGATTGTCTCTACAAAGATGGTTACTGCTGTCACGATACTTCTATAGACTGTGTTTGTATGAACACAAAAGAAAAATTCATGGATAACGTTTTTGATAATATGTATTCAGTGTTAGAGAAACAAATCAAAAGTCCTAATGGGAAAGCCGTGGCAAATGCAGTGCTCGACTGCCTAAAGAAAAGCAGGAACGGCAAATTAAATGAACCAACGAGAAAGAAATTGCAGGAGTTTGTACTTACCAGTGTCAAGAAGAATTTGGAATTGACCATTGTCGGTGGAGCAGTAAAAACGAGATGTGAGGTATGATTAGACCTTATTCAAGTTACTATGTTTCTTACTGTAGACCGAATTGCAAATAACAGAGTTTTTATTTGTATGGCTAGATGGACCCGGACACCTATAACCAACTGATGCTTTGTTTGAAACTAGTGAAACCGTCGAAACCACCTAAAGAGGATAAAGGAACTGTTGCTAAAAAGGTACTTACACACAAAATTCTAAATGTAACTTCGTTAAATTTAGATTTTGAATACATACATTAATAAAATAATGAATGAAAGTTGTTGGACTTTTTTTTACTTGCGTTTCCTTTTTTTCAAATGTTACAGGAACCTTGCCCCCGTTGGGGTGAAACAAGTGAATGTAACTGCCCTAAAGGACCAAAAGGCTGTATATGTACAAAAAAAGGTTTACCCAACCAAAGTGATCTAGAATCTTGTCCAACTAAAGACAAAGATAATGCTGTGAGTAAATATAAAAATCTTTTAAATTTTTTACTCAGAACCAAGATGTTTTTGATTGCAATTCATTACCAATTACGGAGTCTTCATCAAAAAGAGAGGAAAATTTGTCATAATTGTCATCACTGAGCCTTTGCACATCTTCACTGTTGAAAGAGTCACATAGTAACAACGGGCCGTATCATTACTACCTACTATCATGATTACAGATTCAGCAGCTAGTATGAACAGCTTATGCTTGCCAAAGCACTAAAGGATTTATAACCATAATATTCTAAAATTGACAGCTTCAAGTGTTTATGTATTTATTTTAGGGTGAAGTAACTACGTGCCCGCTCAAAGAACCAGCGCCTTGTAGTAGTGAAAGTGGTATACATAAGGAGCCAAGTGCTGTTGGAAAAGAAGTGGCATCGAGGAAACCAGAATCTTGTAATGATAAGAAATGTGCATTTTCAAAAAACATGAGGGCAGCACAATGTGTTTTAGGACCAGACTCTTTGATAACATCATCAAAAAACTTTAAGACAAAAGTTCCTTTAATCCCTGACATATCTGTGTTAGAGGATCAGGTGAGAAAATATACTAAATGAGCCGAGAGTTAAATGTCTTACTTTAACCCAGTGTTGCCAGGTCTCCAGATTTTACAGGAGATCTCGTGTTTTTCTGGAATTTCTCCTGTTCTACTGTTTTTCAATATGAATCCACTGTTTTTCATAGAACACGATTTCCTTTTTGAAATTGCGTTGAGTTGAGTTGCATTTTCCGCCATTAGTAATGTCGGTAACCTTAATTATTATAAAATGTTATTGTCTCTAACTATCTATAGAAACACATTCGTTGCTGGCTTATATCTTGATTTGATTTTCCATCGGAAAAAGTAGTGCTCTGCATCTACTATATTTTCTTGTAGCATTTTCCATACATATATTGTTTTTTTTTCTATAACACCTCCCGATTTTTAAAAATCGGACCTGGCAACACTACTTTAACCACACGAGTAAAGAGATACGTACAGAGTCAAAGCTTCTATAGACCTGTAAAATTTTTCCTTTTTTGGTAGGACAGGTTTTGTTTTTGCGGGACAGGGAAATTTCGAATGTAGGTATTGAGGTATTAAATGTACAATATTGAATTATGTATCTTATAAAATATGTAGTGTGTTATTATTTATTATTACGTTATTTAAATTATTCACTTATATTAGTTTGTCACAAAGATGTTGAGGCATTAGCAATTGCTTTGATTCAAAGAAGTTACATAGCGTCTTAAATCATTAACTGCCGATAATGCCTGGGCGTATGGCAAAATCGGTGTTGACTCATTTTCTTCTTGATCATTATCACTTAGGGCCTCTTCTTGTGTATTATTCACATTCGCATTGAATTTTATACGGCCACATTATCATCAATATTCAGGAAATAAAATAGAAGGATATTCAGGAAAACTCTGGGGGCCGCTCAGCGTGTGTCGCTCGACAGTCGGCACTTCAATCGTGTTGGCGATTTAGGCGTATTAAACGAGATGATGAATCGTATTATACGTTAAGAAATGTATGAAAACATGTCTCACGTTGTAGGGACTGACGCAAAATGGCGTATTATGCGAGAAATCGTATTAAGCGTGAACGAATTAAACGGGTTCTACTATAATGTCTTACACCGACCGACCGTATGAACTCATATATCTCGATATTTTCTTTAAAGAAACAAATACATTTTATTATTTTAATGTTTATTATTTTCAGATCGTTTGTAAATGTGGATCTACACCTATGAAGCCTTGCCCATGTAAAACAGGTGAGATTATTTTATTTAACTAAACTCATAATAATAATAAAAGCTGATGTGTGTGGGAGTACAAAACATAGGACGATTTCTGACAATTCATTGTTTTCACTATTTTAGAAATTAAAAGCGACTCGCGTGAACGAATAATCGAGGAAGTTATGGGAAGGTACATAGATGTGACACCCATAGAGAAAGTGAGTGACACTATTCATAGTGATATATATAGAACTGAAAATTCAGAAACATGTTAAAATTTCACTAGAAGGTTTTAAGTAATTCAGTATTTTTTCCAGCTGTCTATTAAAATATGTATTCTATCCAAAGAAACAGCTAAAAACGTAAATGCAATGTAATGTAAATTTTATGTAAAAAAGTTTAAATAAATTTGTTTGAGTTACATGGTGGTTTTACTTGTATAGTTATAGCCACCATGTCTTGCAGAACACTATGATTTATTTAAATATAATATATTTCACCATAGGTCAAGATTATGGACGAGAAATATTATACTGGCTTAAATAAAGGAGAAAACAAAAATGGACATATTCGCTCAAATTCACATGTTAAAAAGGGGAAAAAGTTGAACATGTCCCAAAAAAGGACTTCCTTTGTGTGCCAACCTTCTTCGTCCTATATTTTTGAAGACTTAGTGAACTATAAAGGAGCGTTACCGATAAACATTTGTAGCAAAGAAAACAGTGCTTGTAGCATTCACAGGGCAAAAAATATCAACGTACAGCCAAAATCACATCACTTAAAAAATATAGTCGTCAATATATTAAATGAGAGGAGAGATGAGTGGAAAAATTCGTTGAGTTACCCTGTAGTTACAAACATAAAAGCTAACACAGCTGTCGACAGTGAAAGTTGCTTAGGTTCACAGGGTCATTACTTTGCTGTAATCAAGTCTCAAACGCTTATAAAATCTGAACATTATGCTACAGATAAAAGCATTCAGAGTGGCAAACCTTTATTTTGGAGTTGTATTGGCGGATCTGTTAAAAACATCGTGAAAAACTTTATTTTCAAAGTATGCAATACAAATTGTTATCATCCTGTTAATAATTTACAACGGGCAGTAGACAAAAAGTTTTGCGAAGGGATATGTTTACTAACCCACTCTGAAAATGAAAGTGGTGATGCTACAGAAAACGAAGTGGAATTAAATATTGATTCACAATGCGGTGATAATCAGCAAAATAAAGCAGCTGATGAAAATACAACAAACAAAACACTGGAAAATCTCCAAAATAAATATAAAAGATATTGTTCAATGGCGATGTATAACGAAATTAAGACTGATGTCGATTTAGTTTATATAAACGAATCATTTGAAAATAGTTCAAGAAATAGTAATGGAATAGGTTTTTCATCGAGTGATTTATCATCTGAGCAATGAATTAATATAGTGATATTAGATGATTCTAGTCACATTCATATAAAAAGAAGGACAAAATATTGGTTTTGATATATGTGTGGTTTTATTCATGAAGAACGTGAAGAACATAAGGAAAGTGTTGTAGCCTAATGAAAATGTTAAGATTAACTGATAACATGACTAATCAAATTATTGTACCTATTTAATGAAAAAACACATTTTGGTGTTAATACATTTTATATTGTTAATACATTTTACTTGGTGTTAATACATTTTATAAATAGCAACTCTTCATTGTGACCTTTGTTGTTTTGTACTTCCACATAACTGTCTTAGTAGAAAGTTTAATTGATTTTGTTTATTATAAATACTTACGACTTACAGATACACAATATCTAAAAATAGGAGTCGATCAACTTACAGAGGGCACTATCGCTTCAAATTCTGAACGTGATGAAGTTTTAATAGATAATTATGATAATGAGTCTGAGAAATTAAAAGAAATAGTTGAAAAAATAAACGGTCAATCTCATTCAACGGAAAAAAAAGAACTTCAAAAAATGGTAGACAAGTCAGAAAATATTGCAAAATCTACAAAGTCTGATGAACTTAAGAGCAGAACTTTATACAAGAAACAACTGTCACTTGGAAAATCTAATAAAAAGGCCACACGCAATGATAAAAGACACTTAAAAAACCAATTGACTAACCTCACCAAGACACCATCTGGATCTGTAGCTATGGAATTTGATAAAGATACCATAAAACAAATTGAAAAACAACTGAAAAGAAACCGTGAAATACATGCAACTATTGTTAAAACTGACTCAGGTCATCACATGGTGAATTTCAGTACGTGTGATTGTTCCAATACAGATATTTTTGTTTTCAAGAAATCTTTATCTGGGAGTTTATTAATGGAAATCGATAAAAATAATGTGACCAAGGACAAAACCATTCCTGAAGAAAAAGATTCCAAAAATTCAGTTTCAGTAAACATGCCATTAGATAATTTGGACCAAATCAAAACAAAGCAGTCTATTATTGGCCTTAATAATGATGAGGGTGAAATCCCAAAACACAACTGTGACCAAAACCTCACAACAACAACAACAATACACAAAGAAAACAAACAAAATACAAATACGAAGAATACTATCACATCAGAAAACAATACATTAATTCTTTATAAATTACTTATTAAAGACGCCAATCAAGATTTGGACTGTCCTCTTGCAGTACTACAAGAGACGAAATCGAGTAATTATATTCTCAACGTAGACATGGAATATGAAAAACCATTTAAAAAAACGATGAAAGAACATTTTGGTTCTGATTTCGAATGTCCGATAGAACTATCAAGGAAATCACCAGGAAGTATTGTAGTAGATTTCGTAGATAATAAAGATACAATCGTCCCGAATGCAGTCATTACAAGATCAAAGTCAGGTAACATAACAATTAAGGCTAATTTAAAAATAGTTTCTAATCAATTTAACATCAGAAAATCATTTTCATCTCAAGGAAAACGAGCCTCAGAAGTATTTTCAAAAATAATAAACCGTTTACCGGGTTTGAACACAGAATGTGCAGATATCCGTTATTTCAAAGACAAAAAATCATGTAGTGACTCTAACTTATTGCATAAAGTTAAAATAAAAGTACAAAACCAACAGAACTTGTTATCCGAGTCTTCGGTTTTACTTAAAAGAACTTCATCTGGTCGATATGCAGTTGTGTTGAATAAAGATTCGAAGAAATCTTTTATAAATAACTTGAAGCGTTATGTATCCAGTGATTCTCATGGCAAAGTACCAATCAAAAGGACAGAAAATGGAGAAATAATAATTTTGTTAAATAATGAGACAAATGAAAATAATCAGTATGATTCACTAAAAATCACTTCGTCCGGAAATATTTACGTCATAGTCGATGAAAATTCTTTGAAAAATATCCCAAATAAAATTAAAAATAAGACAGGAAGAATTGACAAAGATGCTAGTGCTGTTCAAATAGTTGAAAGTAAAAACGTGACAACTACCTGTAATGCTGTGCCTGATTCTTGCGATTCATGTAATTCTAAAAAATGCGTTTGTGGGGAAGTGTTGCGCCACGGTGTAGATGATATTCGGTTTGACATTGATGATACTAAATGTGTGAAGAGCTTTAAATTTTGTTCTATCGAAGACAGTCATTATGATTGTAAAAAATTCAAGTGTCGTTATAAAATTCCCAACAAGTATTCAGAAAGCTTTAGCAAAACAGATCGACAGAAACCAAGAGATAAGTCACCACACATTGTTATTAGGCAATGTTCTTGTCGTCCCGAGTCTAAAAATGAAACTACGAGCAACGAACAACAGCTTTTTTATGTTTCTCAATCAGTTTGTCCATTTCACAAAGACAGACATGAAACGGTGTCTAATGAGCTTATAGAAATATCTGCGTTATGTAACAATCCCCAAAAAATGGACAATGAAGATGAAGATTATGGCAATAGTTACAAAAGCCAACCAGGTGACCACAAACTATACTTTGAGCAGAATGATTCAGACTACTTAAAATTTTTGCCTCCACAATTACCTCCCTTTCTTTGTGGATATAGAAACACATAGATGTTTATCAATTATTGTTTTATGTAGTAAAGTTTTGTTTGAGCAAAAGTTATAGAAATTAAATGGTTCTTAACTTTTTGATTTGTTTTATTCTATTATCATCGCATTACAATAGTAAGTATAGAATGATGTGCCTACCAATGTTTTAATATTATTACTTTCTAGTTTCAATATAATAAAAATACAGATTCAATGTTAAAAATATGACATACCTATTAATGTTAAAATTCAGACAGAAAAGCACTTTAAAGTATGGAGCAACTGAATGTAACAAGACGAATGTTATGGACGTGCGTTTGAACTTTGTTGCAATGCACATTAGCGTCGAAACGTAAGTCATTTTGTATAAAGTTTAAACAGTGCTATGCTACCCGCTGGTGCAACATCGTGCTCGTAAATGCAATATTTTACCAATGCCGAATGCAGCCAGGTCGGTACAGTTATTACCAGCAGTACTATGCTAAATTTTATTTTAGTTTTTGCTAAAGATAGCTTTAACAAAAACTAGATATATGATTTCATCGTCGTTGATACCAAGACGTTATGTAGTCTGCACCTATGCTAACTACAAAAAATACACGGCATGCTCGGGTAGCTATGATTTTTTTCTAAGTAATTTCGAAATTGAACTGGCATAAATTGTACTATCGTTTCTGTCATCAATTAGAATCTATTAAATATATTTTATAGAAAGTGAAATTAAAGCTGGCAGAAGTGAGGATAGTGGGAGTTTTTATAAATATAATTATTAAACTATATCGATAATATTTAACAATATTACCTCAGAAAAACTATAAGAATAGTCTTATAGTTTTTCTGAGGTAATATCGTTAAGTATTATCGACATCAACAAAACTCATATGTAAGCCAGGAATTTTCCGGAAACCTTCTAATATGTCTCGTTACCTAACAAACCGTTTACATCCCGACTCAAACAATTATGGTCGCTGTGAACGTTAAATTCTCATCGGGCGCGGAACACGTTTCGAATTACCGTTTCCGCACGCACCACCCTTTTTCATAACCCACGTCGTTCTACATTTGCCAGTCAACAAAGCGAACGCACTGTACTATGGAACTGGATTCCAGGAACTAAAGTCTCTGGATAGCTGCCTTATTTGTTAGCAGTAGCAGAATTTAAATTATTTTTCTTTATTCAGAAAGCAACAAAACCAATGTAGTACAATTTCTATACTGTAACTGCATAGTTGAACACCTTTATACTTATAAACAAAACAATCGCTCATTAAAATATGTATGAAGTAATAAATGTAGTATGTAACTACGAGAAAGTCATAGCTTTTTAGTCATAGTCATAGGTTATTACAAAAATACAAATAAAGCTTGAAGGTACATCATATAAGGAGTGTTCTTTAATTTTCTTAAAATATTTGCAAGAAGTTTGAACTTATAATTTTTTTTTTTTTTTTTTTTTTTATTATTTTTAAAGCATGTAACTGCTTGATGTTTAAATCTAAAGAAAATATAACTAGAAAAAATTCCACGCGGACCAGGCAGCAGACGGGACTCGAACCCGCACCCTTCGCAATCCGGGCGAATGCACTGAGTTTTAACTTTTTATAGAAACAGGTATTTTTAATGATTAATAAAAATATCGATCATTTTAAGACATGTTACTAGTTCGAGATCATGCACCTTACCAGGAGTAGTAATAAATCTGCTGTAATAAAGAAAATTAGAGAAGATTCCTTATATGATGTACTTCAACGCCCTTCAAGATTTATTTGTATTTTTGTATATGATGATTTCATCGTCGTTGATAACAAGACGATATGTAGTCTGCACCTATGTTAACTACAAAAAATACACGGCAAGCCCGGGTAGCTTTGTTTTTTTTCTAAGTAATTTCGACGTTGACCTGGCATAAATTATACTATAGTTTCTCTCATCAATTAGAATCTCGTAAATATATTTTATAGAAAGTGAAATTAAAGCTGGCAGAAGTCATGATAGTAGGAGGATAAATATAATTATTTTACTATAAAATAATAGTACTATATTATCATTCCAATCTATATTTCTCTCTTTCTCTGCGTGACTTTCATTCCCGGTTTTAAACAATATATTCTTTCTAGCTTTCTTTTCCATGCGAACAAATATAAAATGGAGGAGCTCGATGGCGCCAGTGGTTAGCGCGTTCGGCTGCGATCGTTGAATTTAAGCGACTTTCGCAGTGGTCGGTCATTGGATGGGTGACCAAAAATTAGTATCTCGAGCTCCTCCGTGCTTCGGAAGGCACGTTAAGCCGTTGGTCCCGGCTGCATCTGCAGTTCTTAGCACCAACCAATCCGCACTGGGCCCGCGTGGTGGGTCATGGCCCAATCTCCCTATTCCATCCATAGGGAAGGCCTGTGCCCAAGCAGTGGGGACATTAATAGGCTGATGATGATCAAATATATAAAATACACAAATAATATTAGTGAGTGTGTATTTGTACCCCCTTGCAACTGTACTTTTGCCTTCAAAAAGACAGTATCGATTTTTTCTGCCTTTTTCATTTTTATGCTTCCCTTAACTAATAGAAATAGTAATCTTAAAGGCAGAAATGATTTTATATATATTTTTTATATTTTTTTTTCACCAATATAGATTATAATTGCAACATCATCATAGTGGCAGAAGTATATTTTTTATCTCTATCTCCATTATATGATTTCATTAATAATTCTAGTCTGCCTGACGAATTTTGGAGAATCCTACAGGAACCTGATATTTTTCCGGGATAAAAAAAGTTAAAAAGGTATCTTATGTCTCATTCAAGGTCATAAACTATATGCGTGCCAAAGGACACCCGGCATTATGTGCCAAATTTGTATACTTTTTTAATTTTTTTATCTGTGTTTCATAATTGGAAAACGTAGTCTGGCAATATTTGTCATCAGCAGCTAGCTGTCAATGTCAAATACGTAGGTTTGTCAATAAAACCTATATATGTAGCCGGGTCGTCAAGAGAAATAACGGATAAAAAGGCAATCACAACAGAGAACATTCACAATCACAGTACGCGGCAGCGGATGCGAAATGCGAATGATTTTTTTGTTTGTATTTTAGGATTGTCAAATTGACATTTGGTTTTTTATTTAGAAAAAGCAAAGGAATCATGGTTTTTACAGTCACTTGAGTAATATTTTGAAGTAAAATTCTGTCCCTTGAAGATTTAGGGTTTCCATATCAAAAAATATTAATCATTATATAACTTCTTTCTTATGTAGCAAATAATTTTGCCTTTATTTTGAGACCAAATTCAACTGTATACAAGTTTAGCATTTTTTCTATGAAAAGTGCCGGGTCTCCTTTCATCCAAATCCGTTCAGTAGTTTTTACGTGATTGAGTTAGAAACATACAAACACACTTTCACATTTATTATATTAGTAGGAGTAGAATATATTAAATACAATGTATTAAAACTATCGACAGAAACGAATATATCGTTTATGACACTTATTGTTAATAACGTTTTTTGCAAGCTCCTATTTGACATTCCAGCAATTAAAGAATGGCAGAAATTGTTTGAAATGATAATTTTACTTAGAACTATAATATTATCAACGTCTGGCAGACGTTGAAATTATGTTAAAATTACTACCACCAGCTCCCTAGCTATCATAGGTTTTTGTATTTTATAAACTACAGAAAAATTCCAATAAACTTTAGCATAAATTGTTTCTTCCAGTTGTCTTACAACTGCGACTTTGAACCAAGTGAAATTCGCAGCGAAGCGATATTTCGGTGGCACTTACTCCCGTGGGCGCGCAGGCTTATTGAATACAAATTGTTTCCTTATCAGACAACTTTCGGTTCGAGTATGAACAAATGCCGACTTTTATGCAGCCGGGACGACATTGATTCCAGAAGGTCGACATTCGAGAATAATACGGTGTTCCAAACCTACCATTCTTTTTCAATGTGCTCGCAATAGAGTTTGGATGAAGGGCAAACTTATTCAACTTTTCTGTTTTGTTTGTGGTTTTCTTTAGACATTTATCTTCCTTTGTTCAATATGTTTTATGGTTTCAGGATTTGTAAGATAAATTTGAATTAAATTATCGAGCTCTATTTCTAAATGGGACATCACGGACTCACGTCTTCTTTTGGGGTAACTCTCCAATATTCCCACTATATCAAGTGAGCCGTTGTTTGTTTGATGATGCATTGATTGTGACTAATTACTCGATTTTTATGCGATCTCGAAGCATGCAAGCAAGCATGTTCTCTTATCTAAATGTTAAAAATCCGGAGAGGTACAATTCGATCCTTTTTACTATGCGTTTCGCATAATGAATGAACTTAGGGTCCCGTAATCATATTAACACGATGCAGCCGCTATTGATGACGCAGGCGAAGGCGAAGACTTAATATAATTATGGTCTCTGGAATGGAAAAGGCAGAGACTCAAAAGCTATATATCCTTTGCAATTTTAAATTATAAGAAGGTAAGATAGGTTTTTGTACTACAATAGTAAAAAATAAGTTTATGGATCGGTTACTATTTGTGATAATGCCATTTTAATTGTTGCATTTTATTAGTTAGGCAGGCTAAGTTGCCGTTTAAATTAGAGACTTAAATGGCCCCCAGAAATTGAATCCAATGACAATATGCAGGTAATTGCTCTCGCAACTGAGCTACCAGAGACTAGTTTAATCGAAATGAAACTGGAAAATCTCCAAGCGCTTATTACTTCAGCTATTAGCCAGTGTTTTTCTAATAAAAACCAAAAGAGCTTTGTCAAAACAAAATATATCAAGTATGAAGGCTGCCAAGATATAAATGAACAGATTTAACAAAGGTTGCTACATTTTTTTTTAGTATATTACTTATAATTATATGGAAAGAGATGTTGCTCCGAAGCATTTGTTTTTATCGCTTTTTTATTAACATGTGCGAAAAGATAATTTTGAGAAGAAAAATTTGAAGGAGAACGGAAGGCTCCATTCAATTTCATCACATCACTCTTACGATGTAACTGTCGGTGACCGACATTTTCATTTTCCATCCCAATAGGAGCGTTCATGAGGAGCAAAAAGGCCCCGTACATCAATACATCGTCGCGTATCA